GTGTGTGTTGTGTGTGTGTGTGTGTGTTGTGTGTGTGTGTGTTGTGTGTGTGTGTGTTTTGTGTGTGTGTGTGTGTTTTGTGTGTGTGTGTGTGTATGTGTTGTGAGTGTTGTGTGTGTGTGTGTGGGCCTGTGTGTGTGTGTGTGTGGCGTTTGTGTGTCTCGGTGTCGTAGATGTAGCAGTTGCTAAAGCAGAAGCAGGCAGGTCTCGGATTCAGAGCTTCCTGAGATGACGGCATGTCCTGCAAGCTTTAGAGCTTTCGCTTGATCCACCTGCAGGCTTTTCTCCACCTGTGCATGTAGATCTAAGAATCAGTTCCAGCGACTTCCGTTGCCTAGTCATTCTGCAGCATTCTGCAGTTCGTGTGTGATGAAGATCGGGCGTGGCGGCAACATGACAGGCACCTCTGCCAAGTCGGTCTTCGTCTCGGCGAGTTGCTTGCGGAGGCCTGCGATTGCCTTCCCAGCGCAAGTTCTAGCACCAGGGCTGGCTTCCAAACATTCCCGGGCAAAGGCATTCGCCGTCATGAGCCAGCGCTTTTGACCGAGCCTCTGTGGACAGCGATTGGACCTGGCATGCTCCAATCTTGGGCTCGGCTGCGCTGGCATCTACATTCGCAGTGCACGTGAGGTCTTGTCACACTGCTTGGATTTGTGGCTGGCCTTGGCGAAGCCCTCGCGCACGGTGGCGGTGGCCTCCGTTACATGGCTGGCGCCAGACCGGCTGTATCCGACTACGAAGCTCTGCACCTAGTCACTGCACCGCTTGAAGCGCCGCGCGCCTCCTGCGAGCCTCGTTTTAGGGAGAGGACCTCCTCTTGCGTTCCGCGCACCTCAAGCAGGAGAAGGTTTCGAACAATGTCAAACAAGAATACAAAGACATGCAAATGATTGGGATGTTCCCCTTATAGGGATTTAGTATCCCCTCTATAATCCCTATGAAAGACTGTTCGTATAAGGGGGAACATCCCAATGCAAAGACCCTAAGCTCAGGGCATGTCAAAAAAATGCATTAACGATGTGCGGTTGGACAGCTTGATCCCGTGAGCCCGACCTCGGAGCTGAATGCTTCGAGTTCTCGATGCAAGCCGCTCGTCGCCTTATTCGCCTTGCGACAACGCACCGAGTGACTAGATTCCGTGGAGGATCACTGCAGATTACCGCACATCAAGTAGAAGTTCTGCGCGGAGCCATGCAGTCATGCAGTAGGCATGCAGTAGACCCAAACATCCCTAAACTTGAGGGGTCCAGGAGAGAAAGAGAGAGAGAGAGAGAGAACGAGAGAGAGTGGAGAGAAAGAGAGAGGGCCGGGTTGAGGCATGCCTCGCTGGACGATGCTCGCACATCCTCGAGCCCATCTCGGAGCATGCCATCTGCCTTCACTGACTCGTCTCACTTCGTATCACTTCTTATCAGCAGCCCCTTACTCGAAAGAGCCTTTCTACACTCAGCGACCCAGCTCGCACTAATTATGAGCTTCTCTGCCACATCTTCCGGCCTCCACAAGGGACCCGCGCAACCCGTGGAGCTGGTCACGGATCTGCATGTCGGCCTATCCACGGCTTACTTTTGCGGACCGTGCGAGTTGGGAGACGATGGCATTGAGCGACAGAACCACTGACCAACTCTGGACCCTGGACCGCTCCTTTGAGAAACCGGGAGCTGGCCAGGCAACGGAGGGGCTGGGTGCGGGAGCTTCGACCGAGAATCCAAACCCCTCATTCATGGTGCGCATTGGAGCAACTGCGCGCCACGCCTCAGTGAAGGACGTCTTCGTCTCCGCCAGCTCTGCTCGCCAGGTTAAGCTGGCCTGTTCGGGGCAGCGCACTGTGAAGGCCGCCTAGAGCGCCAGGGAAGCTCTACACTAACAGCAAGTCTGTAGAAAACCCTCAAACAACTAAACCCTTTTCTGCATGTATGTATGTATGTATGTATGTGTGTGTGTATGCATGCATGTATTTGCACATGAACATGAAATTGTTGAATGACCTTGCGTATTGTATATTGCATACTTGTATGCTGTTTATTGTTGATTTGTATGTATATGTACATGCATATGCATATTGTATACTGTGTACTGTATATGGTATACAGTATATGTACATTTTACATGATGTGCGTACATATATATATATATGTGGTCACCCCCCCCCCCATGATCCACACCTATGGTTTTGCTGTCTTCGTCTTTGTCTGAACTTCTGTTTTTCCTCGGAGAAATGCAGTAAAAACTGTACGATAATACAAAAGGCTATGTTACATTATCCCATTTAAGAAACAGTAGTGTGTTTATGTGCATGTTGATTCTGAAACGTGTGTCTTGCGGCCCAAGCAAAATTTTAGAAGGGCAGCCATTTAAAATTTTAAGGCTTTTCAGGGTTTTAAGGGTTTTTAACATTTATATGATCTGCGGAAGGCACCGGGGCTTCCCCAGACCATTTCAAACTTGAAAAATCCTGAAAATCCTTCATTTTTTGAACGGGCAGCTCTTTTAAAATCTTAAGGGCTTGAAGGTCTTTAAAGCCATTCAAAATTTTCAGGATTTGAAGGATCTGAACATTAAAACCCTTAAAAACCTGAAAACTTTCATCCCTGTAAATTCTAAAATACCTTAAAAGTGTAAAAGGGGCCGCCATTCAGAATTAAGGACTTTACGGATTTTAGAATGTAACATCCAAGAACCCTTCAACTTCAAAAGGACAGCCAATTGAAACTTGAAGAATTTCAGGGTTTTAAGGATTTGTAAAAACTTACATGGTCTGGGGAATGCACCGGGGCTTCTCCAGACCATTGACAACCTTAACAACCCTTAAAATCCTGACAGGGCAGCCAGTAAAAAGGTTAAGGATATTCAGGTTTTTAAGGGCTTTAAAACCTTTAAAATCCTGAGATTGTTCAAACAGAATTGTCAATTGCTTTTAGAAGACTTTCAGGATTTTTAAAAGTATAGATGGTCTGGGCAAGCCCCGGTGCCTTCCCCAGATCATTTAGATTTGTAAACATCCGTAAAAACCCTTAACCCTAAAAACCAAACCCGAAACCCTTAACTACTAGACCCCAAACACTAACCCTAAAAACTTAACACTAAGCCCTTAACACGAAACCCGAAACACTTAAGCACTAAACATTAAACACTGAACCCTGAACACTCAAAACACTACACCTTAAAAACTGAACCCGAAACATTACACACCAAACCCTACACACTAAACCCTGAACACTAAACCCTAAACCCTGAACAGTAAACCCCAAAGCCGGAACCTCAAGCCCTACTAAATCTACACCTGAAACCAAAAACCCGTCGAGGTTTCAGACGCTTACTGTTTGGATTTTAGGGTTTTATTTGGTTTAGGGTTTTTGCCAAGTCGCTTGACCCTAAACCCTAAACCTGAACCCTAGACCCTAAACTTAACACTAATCCCTAAACACAAAACTCTAAAGCCTGAAACCTACACACTAAGCCCTAAACACTAAACACTAAATGCTAAACCCGAAACAACAAACCCTGAACCCTAAACACTAAACCCTAATCCCCAAACCAAAAAACCATGGAGGTTCAGTGCTTTAGGGGTTTTAAAACTTAATCATTATAAGGTCTAGGGTTTTAGACATTATCCAAGTCGCTTAACCCTAAACCCTAAAAAGTAAACCCTAAACCTTAAAACCAAAACCTAAACACTAGACCCTAAACACTAAACCCTGAACCTTAAACACTAAACCCTACAAACCCTAAACCCTAAACAAAAAGCAAAAAAAACGAAACCCCTAAACGTGCATATGGAGAACACGGGCCCCGCAGATTTCCAGAGTGAATCTTGAGTACCGGGCCCCGGACTCCAGACTCCAGATTTCCAGAGTGAATCTGGAGTACCGGGACCCCAGACTCCAGACTCCAGATTTCCAGAGTGAATCTGGAGTACCGGGACCCCAGACTCCAGACTCCAGATTTCCAGAGTGAATCTGGAGTACCGGGACCCCAGACATCAGATTACGGACTCCAGATTCTGGAGTCCAGGGCCCCGATACGTACTCCAGATTTATTCCTGGAGTCTGGGGGTACTCCAGATTCATTCTGGAAATCTGGAGTCTGGAGGCACTCCGGATTCAGTCTGCAAATCTGGAGTCTAGAGTCCGCGGCACGATACTCCAGATTTCGTCTGGAAATCTGGAGTCTGGAGTTCTTGGATTCCCCCCCCGCCACAGCCTTCCCGAGGCCAAATGTGTGGATCGGGGGGGGGGGGGGGTGAGCATATATATATAATATATGTATATATATATATATGTATTATATATATATATAAGTGTATATGTATGTATGTATATGTATGTATGTATGTATGTATGTATGTATGTATGTATGTATGTATGTACGTATGTATGTGTATATACATATATATACACTGACAGAATAAGGATCCTACATACCTTCTCCGAAGCCCTCGGGCGGCGGGCCTCCGCTGCACTGCCTCGGAGTCCGCTCAGCTCTTCGCGGAGCGTCCCCAAAGCCTTGAGGAAGGCATCGGTTGGGGATCTTTTGGTTTTGTTTTTAAGCTTAGGGTTTAAGTTTACACTAGAGCTTTGGAATTTGGCAGTCGAGGATCTCACCTTTCAAACAGTCTGATCCATCCACCGCAAAGACCCCCCGTATCGGAGTCCTGGGACGCTAATTTCATCACAATTGTTCACATGCCGAAGCCTGGTCAAGTTGCTCCTCTGCAGCACTTCGGCCCACCTTGCCGGCAAAATGGGTGGAGAGTTCACGTTTCAACATGAGGCAAGCTACCGTGTCAAGTGTCCGGACGCATGGCATGGCAAGCTGAACCGGTGTCATGGCCGAATCCGCTGGCTGTCATCTGGCCCCAAGCTTGTCCCATCTCTACCCTACAAAACGACGACAAGTAAGAATCCAATAACCAACTAACCTCGGTCTTAGTGTCATGGTTTTTGTTCTGACGCCTGCAAAGTGGCTGAGTCGTAGTCTTGGCATGCACTGCGCCAAATTGTGGACACAAACGTTATGCCCAGCGACTTCATGAAGGACACCTGCTACAACTTGCTATCGCCCTGCTCCATGATCTGTGACATCGGGGTCAAGGCCGACAAGCTAGCAGACATGGCTTCCGTTTCCTCCCCATCCACAGCACTTTCCGCCGCCTCCCCTCACGGCTCGTGACCATGTCCTCACCTCCACACCCTCTCGGCGGCTCGGTGGCAGCGCCGCATCCGCAACCCCTTGCTGCCACGCCCCTTGAGCCGCAGTCTCCTCCGCTGCCTCCACTGCCTCGACCTCAAGACCTCCGCAAAGGCGATGCTGACTGCACCTTTGCCGCTGTAGTCGTTAACGAGCCTCACATAAAGTGTTTCAGTTTGTTTCAACGGCTTTCCAGCCCGTGTTCGCATACGGAGGTACGTTTTGGACAGGAAAAGCATTGAAGCCCTGCGCATGTTCGGTCGCAGAAACATCGGTGCCTGAATGACTGAAGCAGCCTGTGTTCATCGTGGATTGAACTGGAGCATAATTCTGGCACCAAGCCATCACCGGCCAGGCAATTCTTGCGCGAACTGATTGTCTTGTTTGGCGTTTTGGGGCGCGGGTGGCCTCGGTTGATTGTGCTTTACGTTTCCTCTCCGCAAGTCACAGCCATCCTACGGCAGAACATGTCTCTCCCGGTGTCTAATTTGCATCCAATTCGGGACAATGCGCTCCCTTCACAAGCGGTGGCGCTCACTCTCTGCCAGTCGCTAGTCTGGCTCGGCGTCAGGTGCATCTGCCCTCTGAGCGGGTCAGGAGCTTGAACAAAACTTTCTCTGCGTGGTGCACCGTTCAACGTCCTGCCATGCTGCTGCCTCCAGCTTGCTTTGCGCTTTGCGTCCTGTGGAGAGGGACTGGAGAGGGTTTTGCTGCAGCGAGCACGCAGCCAGGTGCACACTGACCTTGGGAGTCTGTCTGGTCAGGCCTTCCTGCTTGTCCCATGCGGCGGCTAAGCTTTCAGTCCAGCCACGTGTAATGCAAATTACATCAAATCCGCCGAGGCCTCGGGCCGAAGGTGTATAGGTTGTCAGAACAGGCACCCCCCTCCAAATCCTCCCCCCATAGCCAAAGCCAATTTTCGGACCCCTTTTTTTGCCTGAAATGGGTACCCCCCTAGGAAACCGGGGTCCGCAAGCGGACGGTTCGCCAGGACCAGAGGCAGTCCCAGCAGGGCCCCCCCCCTTTTCCCCCCCCGCCTCTCCCCCCTACTTCCAGCTATGGAAGCGCAGCCAGCGCCGAGTCCGAGGTTATGTGCACTGGCCTGGACACCTATGCGGATGCCGCGAACATGCGCCGGGCGCTGCGCTGGGCCAGGCCGAGGCGGGTCGCGTAGCATTAAAATTACGAGCTCATCTCAGCAATCCAAGCCGATCCAATGACCCATATTGGCTCACATCAGTATCCACTGCCACATTTCGCAATTATGAGTCTTGGAACTGGTCACATTAACAGTAGCATCACGGCTTAAGCTGAGTCTGGTGCCAAAATGGCACAGGCCGTGCGCCTAATGCCCCCCCCGAGCCCTATAACCACGTGCTGCCTGGCGCGCCACGTCACGGGCCAGCGCCTCTGCCTCGTGGCATAGCGCGAGGTGTCCAGGTTGCCTAGCTAAACCGCAAGTTATGTGCCCCAATTTAGGGCTGCAGGAAAATTAGAGCTGTGTCCGGGAAGACGCAAGCTTCTGTCTGGAAAGTCTCACAGAGCAATCGCTACGGCCAGATAAGGATGAATTGCTGAAGGTGGTCCATGTCAGCTGTCCGCGGCTCACTCTTGCTCGTGGCAACATCAGCAGACTAAGCACACTTCAGGTCCGTGTGTGGCACCTTCTGCTCTGCGAGCTGTATGCTGCTTCGGGCCTCGTCTGCATGGAATCTGGCGGCTAGCGTTGGTTCTGGCAATGACGACAAGACTACATGACCCCGCCCCAACAATCACGAGCAAAGTGGATCGCAGCGCAAGGTTAGAGGTCGGAATGTTTGTGAAAGTAGACATGTGACATGTTGATTCATGTTGATGATGGGGAACTTGCATCCGCACCAAGACGATGCGGGGGCGCCCCTGCCTCCGCCGTGAACTCCCGGCTGCTGGCATCCAGGGATGCCTGGAAGGCTGAAGATACGAAGATTCGAAGCTTGAAAATACTAAGGCGCCTGAATCAGTGATGGCCGCTCCCCGAATGCAATCATAGGTTGAACAATGTTCCACCGAATGTTCCACATGGCACCGCTTCGGGACGCTCGGAGGGCCATCGGCCTCGATGCAGCGGTGCTGGGCCACGTGGCTTTGCGCCTGGGTGTACCGGAAAGGAGAGCTCGGCGCCAAAGTGAGAGGAAGTCGATTGAATACGGTGAACCGAACTGAGAAGGAGCGTCGCTCACACCGGGGACAGAGCGACCTCTTCCTGCCTCTGTAACTCCCGCCGCGCTCTTTCGAGCAAGGCCTGCACATCCAAGCTGTCCCTCCTAGGCTGCGTCTGCCAAGGCCCTTTACTTTCGAACAGTCGCGGGGCCTTTTCAAGCCCTCCCAAAGAATCTCTGCAAAGCTCAAATGCAAAACTTCCAGTCAATTTCACTCGACAAAGGCCGACGTGTTCAACGATGTACCAGCGTCTGTGGCTGGTCCCAGCTTTGTACAGAGGATTGTGCAACATGCCCCTTCTGGAAATCAGCCAATCTCTGCAGATTGAGTTGCATGGCATGGCTGACATGTCCGGGGAACTATGACATGCTAGGGGCTGGTGTGTTTACAGTATGGCTGAATAGTTGAAGGGCCTCGCCGTTTGCGGCAATACGCCATTTGTCGAATTGTTCGTGGGCCTTTGCGAGATTCATCCTCTCACACAAGCCACCACGCGCGCACCTTCATGACGGCAAACTGGGCAGATTTGTTGGCCTGAGGCTGCCCATAGGTTTACCTTGGCTCACCAAACTGTGAGGGCACTGCACATTTGAGAATTATTTGCCAACTATTTTTAGCCCCTGCTGCCTGGCATTTCCATCAACCTGCCACAAGCCCAGAAACGCTGTGCATGGCTGCTTCCAAGATACACAGTCATAGCACAAGCATGCGTGACCACAATCTAGTGCAGCCACGCGATTGGCTCCATTCCCGAATGCTTCATGGCAAAGTACACACATGTCAGACAGGTAGATGTCGAACATGTCTCGGTCCTCACCCACGCCGGAGCTCGCGGTCTTCCGAAGCTGGCCAAGCTTCCGCCCGGCATATTCGCCCAGCTGCGCCCCAAAGATCATCTGCACCGTGCCTCCGATCCACCCTTGTCCAACAAGTGGCACCCGCTGCAGGGCAGAGCCAATGGCCCCTGCAACTCCACGGCACGGTGGAGACTGGGCGACGAGCCAGGCTGCTGTGATGACGACGCCTTGCGTCACTAGTGAAGCGACCGATCCCCCTTGTTGCTGTGCAGCCTGGCGCTCAGGCGCAAAGAACGAGTTCATGGCGCCAGAGAAGAAGGCAAGCAAGAAGTTAGATCCCACTCCTGGTGCATCAGGCGCTGACGCTCCAGCAGAAGGCTCCACAATGGGCACTTCTGAGGCCTCATTGAGGCTCAGTTCCGGAACGCCCTCTGGAACGGCCTCTCCGACTGGCGGCGCGATGAGCTCAGGGGCCAAGGGCAAGTACCTTTGTCAGCTTAAGCCACGAAGAGGCTAGCAACAGTATTCCAAGCTATCACCTTCACTGAGCTTTCAATCCAAATAATCCAAGCATCGTCCGCTCTGGAGGACAGCGAGTGAGGAGGGCCGAGGTGCTGCGTGCAAACTCCTGATACGATCTCGGAGTCATACATAAGACTGGACATGTATGTTTACCGAGTGTTCTCGCCCTGTAGAAGGTGAGGCACCTCCTACTATACTCGGTAGTCTTCTATTCTGTTCAACCTTGCAGGTAACGGAGCATACTCGCCTGGGCTAGCGCGCTACCAGGACTCCAGAGTCGTGCAGGCAGCGACATGGCCACAGCGCCCTCCACTCACTGACGAAAGCCGACGCTTGCGGCCAAGAGTTACAGGTTTCCTTGCCGGCTGGGAGCTTCTTGTGGTTGTGTTCGTGTGTTCGTGCATGGCTTGGGGTGGTCATCCCAACGCAATTCGCCCTGGGTGCACGACTGGCCTCCCCCACCTCTTGCAGTGACTTCTTCGCCTCGTGGCTCATGTGGCTGTGCCATGTGGCTTAGCTCCACTACCATCGTGAACAACGTTCATTCTATTCTAATCAGTTCTGAAAAATTCTGAAAGTTTCGGAATCTGGCCTTGGAGACCCGAAACCTGAAGCTCCGACTGGGCGCCTGGCCTTCTCTGATTCGTCGGCAGCTGGGCTGCGGCGGCAGCCAGTGTGCTGCAAGGAAGGCTTGGATGTTGCGTGAAGTATGAGATAAGAGGTCCAGAGTGATCACAGCCATGACACTCCAATGGAAAGAGGTTATGCATGTGGAGATCTACCGCGACTGCACAGCGCAAGCCGGAAGCAGATGAGGGCACCAGAAGGTTCGTGAAAGTTGCACGGGCGTCTCTACTCGGGTTGCACGACCTTGTGTACTGTATGTTACATGCCCCTTCCCTTCTTGAGACATCTGGGAAGGCAAGTTCCTTTTGCTAGAACTCGTGAACGAATTTCAAACGAAGCTTGAACCCAATGCCCTAAACCACCAAGCAACGCGCAGGCCTCACCGCCCGTGGTGCCAGGCTGTCGAATCGACAGCAGCCGCCTTCGCATCTCGCCTGCCTCGGAAGGCCCCCGTGCAATCTTTCTCTTGTGGCCCGAACGAAGTAAAGCCATATCCCAATGTGACACCATGAGACCATGCAGGTACGGAAGACTGCACGGTCGACGGCACAGAGTGAAGAAAGCCGAGTCAGCAGCATCCCTTTCCAGCGCGAGGAGGCGAGGCTTCAACTGCAATTGTGGATTAGGGTCAGGGCTTGAAGCTTTTGGCGCTTGGGTTTCTTCAAGGCTTTGTGGTTGGAGGTTCGGGTTGAGGGTGGCTCGGGCCGGGTGTGCCGCCAGCACCCTAAATGAGGATTTCAGGTGTCTTATGTTAGGTTTTAGGAAACTTTAGGGTGTTGAGGGTGTAGGGATAGTTTGCGAATCCGGTGCTTTCAAGTTTTTGGAGAAGGCACACAGCACAACTGAGCTGACGATTCGGGGCTGAAAGGCTTTAGGAGTTTAGGAGCACGGTCTGACGGCTTCCCCGAATGCCTTCAGTGTCAGCAGCTCCGTGACATCGAGGCGCAGGTCCTTCGCCCAGGGAGTCAGTTTTGGAGCTCCAGGATGCATTCACTACTTTGAACTGACATGGGGGTTTCCGAAATTAGCGGGTACCTTTATTGGGATCCCTTTAATCGGGGAATCCTACTACTCTGGCGGTCTATGTTAGGGGTCCCCTATTTTCGTAAACCCCCATACTAAATGGCTGATCATGGTCCCGGTGCACTCCGTGGTGCGCTCAGTAAAGCTGCATACATTTCCACCGACGAGCCCGGACTGCTGCAGCCGCTACCGCCCTGCCACTACGGTGGCCACTGGGGTCCTTGATTTGCCCTCCAAGATTTGCGGCCTCATGATGCAGCATGAAAGAGCAACGGGCCATGTGGGCCCAGAGCTGCGTCAGAGGCACAGGGAGTTCGTTTGATGTTCGGCCAGCTTCTGTCAGCTCTACCCGGACTCGACCCTAGCTATACCAGGAGCACAGTTTATCAGGAGTGAGCAAATGAGCACGAGTGCCAGCGATGCCAACAAAGCTCGGAGGGCAGCCGGGCCAGTCTCAGGTCTCGGGTTCAATGGTTCAATCCGAGGGAAAAGAGGGGAAAAGAGAGGAAAAGGGGGCCCTGCCTTACAGTGCCCGACATGAGCCCGCGAACATTTAAGCAGACATGTTCCCGCAGCACTCGACTGTTTACATGATTCCCTCACCCAGAAAATCCTCAGGCAGCACATCATGGAATGGAACAGCAGTTATGCACCTTTCCCCAAATGTTTCCGTGCTACACTGAGATGCCACTGCTGGCCGACATATCCAACCAGAACACGATGACATGGCCGGAGGTTTGGAGCCTCCTGCTTCAACTGTACAACCCTGAGCAGCTAAGCATCATGGGAGAAATTCAAGAATGAGCTGGGCTTCGGACGTGACTGTCCCGGGCGATTTGTTGCTCGACCTGCCGGACACGGCCCTTTGCAGTGCCAAGTCCCAACGAGTGCTGCAGTTGAGCTTCACATTCCTTCCACCTACAGCCTTAGCAACTGCAAGCACGTCAGAGTCTTTGCTTCGTGCGCAGGCGGTTCTGGAAAACTGCAGATGTCACATTGGACTCCGTGCTTTGCGGGTAGGTCGAACTCTCGGCTGCGTCACCGCAGGAAGGGCTCCCACAGTGCATTAGCCGTGCATCATGGCATGGTTTACAAAGACTTCCTGACAGCGCGACTGCACTGCAGCTTAAACAATTCAGCAACATCTGCTCGATGCAGCAGAGCCGTAATGCTCCAAGTTGCTCCAAGCCTTGGCTACATTCTGTAGACGACGTAGCCTTGATCTTGTGTGTCCAGGCCTAGACTGGCAGATGCGTGATGAGAGCCCGGTAGCTTGCCAGGGTCAATCCAAACCTGGGCTCACTTCTGCATCTTCTGCTCCTGTATCTTCACCTGCCACAACAGTATTAGAGCAGCGCTCGCAGCAATGGTGCACTGGCAGCAGCTTTCATGAAGGCGACAGCCCATCTGAGTCTTTGGGTCTCGAGACCCAACAACAGTCCAGAACGTATTCGATGCGCAATCGACGTCGGCTGACATCCGGCTGTGGAGGGGGGGGGGGGGGGCGGGGCCTTGTCTGTTGTCTGCTGCGCAATGGCTCCGGTGGTGCCAGATGCCGTCTTCGGATCAAAAGTTGGCAGCCACTTGTTCCTTCGTCCATGTGTGCATATGTTTGTGCTTGATGTTCTAGGGCTCTCGGGATACTGGGGCTGTTCTGGCGGCATCCCCTCTCTCCCAGAAGCGCAGCTGTCCTGAACCATTCGATGGTATCTGGCCACCCCTCTTTGTACGAAACTACCTCGGATCAAGCAGATGAAGCCCAGGCTTGGCCAGAATGGGGAAACAAGAAAAACTCGAAAAGGCAATTCTAGATCGTCATCAAAAACGAACCAGCCCAAGACCTGTTTGACAAACACCCCAAGCCCCAGCCATCGGGGGAAACCAGCCGTGCCTGAGCTGTGGGGTGGAGCACAGACGCAAAGCCTTCTAGACAGACCCAGTTACAGGTTGATAGCCCAAGTCGTTTTGCGCCGCGGTGATGCGGAACCACCTGTCTGCTGGTGGCATGGCTTTCTTGCGAGATCTTTAGAGGCATATGACACAATGTGTGTCATGGCAAGCTGATTGTGTGATCACTCGCCTGTGCATGGTCAGCATACGCAAGGTAAACCACCCCAGCTTGAGCTTCTTCCCGGTGATGGCACTGATCATGTCGCAGATAGCAGCGACGATCCTGCGGCTTTGGAAGGCGTAGGGCTTGGGGACAACTTGGGGACATCATCACAGCTCAGCGCGTAGAATATGTAGAACTCACTCACACCCACTCGCAACGCAATCCCAAATGTCCTCAGCAAGAAGTAAGGGAGAGCCATCTTACCTCCGATGACCACGGTTGCACACCAAAGCAAAGAGCCTATGATGACTTAACCGACTTTGCCGGCGTCCGATAGTTGTGACAATTATGGTCTGCCCACGTCTACTCTACAGAGTCCTACACGGCCTTTGTGAAAATATGGAACGGATGATCACATTTGCACCACTTTCCACTTCGCTGCACTTCAAGGCGCTGTACAAGGAATCGAAGCCCATGCCGGTGACTGCCTGGCGACCACCACGCTGTCAACATCTCAAATCGGCTTCATGCACAGCGGAACTGCACAGAAAATAGTTGACGAAACAAGCCGCAGTCCGGAGAAGTAGTGCCATGTCAAGCTAGCACAGGCCATTGCAAAAGCACAGTTGACAGTTGACCCATTGATGTGAGCTCTCGTCACGGCAAGTTCCACACTTGCCACTCTTGGGGGTCAACCACTCAAGTGAACTCAGTGCTTAAGTGAGCTTAAGTGCGCTTAAGTGCGCTTGAGTGCGCTTGAGTGTGCCCAAGGCCAGCGCCAAACAAGCTCTGTCTTCTTTCATGTTTTGCCTAAAGACAGTGAGTCCCACACTACCAGCAAGGCTCATCCCACGCAGCGGCATGGCCCAGGCCCGACGAACATAAGTCATCACTTCACTACCTGGCTGGTCCACTTTGCTGTGAACCAGGCGTTGCCACCGCCACACTCCTTTCCCACACTGCCTCAGGGACTACCAGCCCGAACTCCCCGTGCATCGGCCTTCCCCACAGTGCGCCCCTAAGGGCTTTGGCCTTGCCACGTCTCATGATCCTTCCTTTCATGTCTTCTTGGAGCTCCAAACCCTCCTCAGCACTGACGCACCGGGCTTCCGATGGCCTCGAGACTAGCGTGTGCACTTTTCACATGAAGTTCCGGCCGGAAAGGAAGTCAGAGCCACGGCGCCGCAAGGCAATAAGTGAAAAAGGATGTGATCAACCCTTGTCCAGTTGAGTCCATGGGTGATCGGTCTAGCTTGCCAACTCGTATGCTTTTCTGCGCAAGGCCTGGTCGAGCTCCTCCCAGAAAACGCTGTAGCCCTGCAGCGGCAGTTGAAGTGGCGGCATCATGGTCGGCACAAAGTTCGCTCACATGGCTAATGTCGGGCTCCGTGACATTTGAGCTTCGTGTCAGCCAGCTCTTCTGTTCCCACACCTATCTAAGACTTATCTAAGTGCGGCAACTCCGAGCCTCTGCATGCGGATGGGTCGGGCCGTCTGTGCACACATAAAACTTCCCTCGGCCGTCAGTACAGGTTGAGAAAGGCCACTTAGCTCTACGGAAGCTTGAAGCTACCCATGAAGAAAGAAGACGCTCAGCCGCGATTGGCAGTCTCAGTTTGTACTGCATATACCCCGACGAAGTGGCGACCAATTGTCGCCGAGAAACCGAGATGAGGCGACTCTTTGTAGAGCTGCCTCAAAAGCTGGCCACCAAAACAGTTGGCAGTAAGGTTTAGGGTGGTCCGGCGTCGCCAAGTTTACGTAGCCGAGCTGCTTCTCGGCAATGACCAAGCCGTGGCAGTAGTTGTCCACGTGCGTGTACCTTGTCGGTCAGCTTTGCACACCACTTGCCACTTCAAAAGGATCAAATGTCCACGTGTTTGTTGATTGCAATGGATCATGTTCAGAGAGCCAAAAGAGCACACGAGAGGCTGATGAGAAGATGTTGGAGGAAGAAGATAAACATAAAGTAACCTTGATAATAAAAAAGGATAGAGCTCTGCACACACATACACACACACACACATATATATATATATGCATTTATATTTCTATTCTTTATTTATGTATTTATTTTTTATCTGTATATATATAAATACATATATTTATTTATGTATTTTTATTTATTTGTACTTATATTCATATCATTTCATATCCATATTGTATTTATATATTCTTCGAACAGCGCTGGACATAAGTGGACGGCAAGAGACGCAAGAGGCGCAACTGATCACAGCAGCTGCGCCATGCTTTGCAGCATTATGATGCTGAAGACCCCAGCACATCTCCGAGACTGAAGTATATTCAAGGCCCAGCCACCCCACGCGACTCTTGCCACTGCCGAAGACTCGCAGTTTGCCGACACCAGCGGCTTCCAAGAGGTTGGGCAAGAACAGATTGTCCCCTGATCATGGCAGAAGCAAGTGGCCAGTGCGGCAAGCAGGGGGGCATACTCACTGCACAGTACCGGGACTACGAAAAAAAACCCAGCAAAGTATGCAGCCGTCTGGTGCTCCGGCCCGACACTTGATTCTTCCACTGGGGCGCTCACGAGGCCCATAGACGGTGTGAGGTGCGACCTGAGAAGCTTCAAATCACATCGACTCCGTCAAACCGTCCAGCTTCTCAAAGCTTTGCATTGGAAAGTTCTCCAAATTGTGGTCCCTTCAAGAGGCTGTGAACGAACATGACAACAGGAACCCAACGTAAAAGAAGGCCATGATGTTGAGAACTCACCATATCACACGTCCATCAGCAAGGAAACAAGGATTGCAAGGATGCAGCTGCGATGAAGAGGATCTCATCATCCTTGCAGGCCTGCGCGATTTGAGGCTTCAGTCACTTGAAGGGTCGGATTCGGACAAGGGCCAAGAACCTCGACTTTAGAGACGGTTGCAGAGCCTTCGGGCATTTGCTGCGTGATGCCTAAGGTAGAGCGCTTCGCCGCGCGTCCCTGCTCCCACTCCGGGGCTGACCGGATGGCATCCTAGGACCCTATGACCTTCCAAGATCGGGTCCTTGCGCAAGAGCAGTTCTCCCTCGGCTTTGGTAGCAGAATACTCTGCCACATACTGCTCCTCGCACAACAGGCATGAGCTTAAGGAAAGGCAGCTCCAAGCACGTTCGGCTCTTTCACAGGAATGGAGCACAGCGTCCTCTCGTGCGTGTGCGTGCATGCGAGCAGCCAAGCACAAGCAACTTCGTGCGGCGAGTCCTGCGGTATGTCAGGCATCTCTGCCTGAACGATGGGCTTCCGATCCCAACGAACTTGATCAGTTTCTGTGAAGGCAATTTAGACCCAATTAGCCGGCTTGCGTGTTGCTTCTCTTTGCCTCTCCCGTAGCTCATGCTCAAATCATGAGTAATCTTCAGCTGCCAGCAGTGTGCGCGTGCCTCAGTTTTGCCATCTACATCGTCTGTGCAGGTGAAGCGTGAAGAGGGCGTCGCTGAGAACACCAACTTTTTCACTCCTACAGGCTGGCGAAGTATTCATACACCCTCTGTCGTCATGCTTGATGATAACCCTACACAGAACACCCCCGGTGTCCTTGCTGTTTGCATGCTTCCAGCACATTCCTTGTCCCAGTCACATTCACCTTCGGGCTGGATGTGTAGGACGACGGAATCTTAGGTCCTAGCTCTTCCACATCTTCCACTGTAGAAGGTATGAGCATGACTCGGGCATGTCGCGCACGGCACTTGCTGTGAGAATTGGTATCTCTGTGATGGATTCCACAAGGATCGTTGAAACATTTCCGGCAACAGGCTGCTTGAAGGCGGGATAATATATCACCAGAAGAAGCAGCAACAGTACGGGCAAGACGCATTCTTGTAGAAGTGCTTCGGGAGGAATGGGCCGACTGCAGCAGCATTGTGCCAAACACAGTCTGCACCTTGGGTGGCCGCAAAAGCTGCTGAGTACACATGAACCACAAAGTGGCGCGCCTTCCACGGCTTGCAGAACTGCATCGTAGTCACAAAGGTCCGCGGTGACATACTTTATGGCCTTCGGATCTCGTCTTCAAATTGTGGCAACATGGCATTTGCACGGTGCACGGTGCTCCAAGTGGGCCATACAATTGGGAGCGAGCTGACCTTGCCTTGTGTTGCCAAACGTTGGCTGCAGGAGGCACTATGTCGAAAGAAACCACCTGAGGCAGCATACAAGTAGCTGAGCAGAATGCTTCCGCCTCCAAAAAACACAAAACAAAAAACGCCCCTCCTGCTCTGCTCCACGCTCCACCAGCGTCTCCACCAGGCGCTGGCCTACAAAGCCTAGGCCTCCGGTGACCACGCAGCGCTTGGGCACCTCAACAGCAGCCAAAGTTGCAAAAAAAGGGCTTTTGTTTAACCCTCTTCTGTTAAAGAAATATGGTGCCAAAGGCGAGCAGGTCAGGGACTGGCACGCGCCGGGATGCCCCATCTTGATCTGAGGCCTCCGCTGGCCCATATTTGCCACTTTCGTTTGCCTCACAGTCCAAGTGCTACTGAGGGCGGCAGAATCTGGGGACTACCTGATCAGCTGCACAACTGTGAGAGAGAAAAAAAACCAGACTGCTTCAAGTGCAAGCCTGGTATAGATCGCAAAACATATCGAATGACTCGACTCGTGCAGCCTCCTTGATCTTTTGCTGAACAGGAGACAACTCCTGAGCTGGATGGATTATGCTGTCCACTTACCGAACATGGATTCCACATTCATTGGAGCAGAGCGGGCTTGGTAATGCTGATTTGCGGCTCAGCTTCGTAAGCTGTGTACAGTTCAACACGTGGCGCCATCGTTCGCAAGGCGCGATGACTGAGTAAGCGTAGTCCCATTCATCTCGCTTGCCCTCCTAGATAAAGTTTGTCAAGCTGTATGAGAGTGTATCGCAAAAACATCGGCAATCAATGCACGCAGGGTCTGGAGCTAGTGGTAAGCGGGTGTTTGCAAGTCTGCGAAAGCCTCAAACCTTAATGCTGAGTTTGGTCAAGGCTGTTGAGTCTGCCAGGCGCAATGGCTGCGGTACCCAGCACGGCATGCTTCACGTGACGGTTGGTCGACCCACAAGCACAAGAGATCCTATCAACCCCAAGCATTCGCTGATCGGCCCTCCACGAAGAGCTTGCAGGAGTAGCATGACGCAAACGCATCGTCTCGGATGTCTGCGTGTTCCACACGAATAAGCCATGCGCCTCTGCTTGCAGCGCAGCTTCAACCTACAGCAGACCACGCATCACCGTTCGAGATAAGTTGCAAGGCCTAGCTAACTACCACAAGCCTTTTTGTGCAGCGATGACTCTGCACCAGCTGCCGGTAGCTGGCAAAAAGCTATGGTCCAATGCCATACCAATTGAACGAGCTAGGGACTCATCTGGCATGCAACAGGTCGATTGGAGCAATTAAGGCAGCCTTGGACCAAGTCACAACAGCTTTCAAAAGATACTGCAGCAGCCGACAACAGGAAGCCATACTGGAACATGCACGGCAGCAGAGGCGAGGCTTCTCCAACTTCACGGATGGCAGGAAGCCTCCTTCCGCTTTGGTAGCGCAGAAGAGGTGAATTGTTCAAGTTTCAAGAGCCCCGTCGTTTTTACAAGTTACTTGTGGAGTAAGACGACATTGAACTTGCAGACGTAAAGTGACAGGACTGCTTGAAACAGCCTATATACACAGGTGCACAGCCATCCAACCCGTGCCAGTCTTCTGTGGGTCAGATGCAACGTGGCGAAGCTACAAGCCACAAGCACTGTACAACCGGAACTTCGAGAGGCATCTGCTTCACTCTTCTACTTCTGCCTTCGTCTCTCGGACTACCGGGGTGCTCATGCATAAGAGATCACAAGTGTGTCTTTGCAGATTGGAGGCAGCACCTAGTGGGCCGCAAAATACACAAGCGCTGGCTAGGAAGGGCCTAATTACATGCCTGCTCAGCTCTAAACATCTGGACCAATCCGCTCGGCAAAATCCGACTGCAAAATGCAGGTCTGGGTGAATTTGCGGTATTGTTCATGCTCATCTTCACCACTTGCCTTAGAGCTACAGCATCGGCAAAGAAGCTGGTTTGCGGTGACGCTATCCAAACGGTTTCGGGGCTCTTGTGTAATTCTGCGGGTGCCAAGACCTCTCGTTTGCACAAAGCTTTAGGCAGAGAGGCGGTCCATCGTCCCTACACGCTCGAACTTCTCTCCAAGGACAACTCCAATCTGTCTCTCCTCCCAGCGGTGCAGATGGAAGGCTGGCCTCTCGGCGTGTTCAGGGGCTTTTTTTCAGGGGAACCCGGGAACCATGACAAAAATGCACAAACGTGGAAAAGCCTGCCATGAGCGTATCGATAGTTGCAGAAGGCAACGATGTCGCCCGTCTGCCACTGCACTCGAATGCCACCATCATCATAGAGGCTGACCCATTGCCTCAACTCGTCCGCAGTGAATGGCGTTCCATCCCCAAAGGTCATCTGCAGTGGGCGATGGTCAGGGTGCACATCGTGAACACCTTTCCACGTGTCGAACCAAGCGCTGTGATCCGCAATGCTGCTGTACAGGACGTTACGGTCGACTGACGGGCAGTATTCGAAGGCGGAGATCACGAGCTTGGTCTTCATGTACCGCTTGGAGTGCGGCTTCAGCGGGTCCTCGCACCATTCCACATCCAGTCCACAATCCCGGGCTTTTTGCTCTGCCTCCTCGGGTGTCTTTGCCCCGAAGGACAGCTGCCAGTGGTTGTATACAGCAGCACCCTCCTTCCAGCCCTGACCCTCGTAAGCATCGCGATCAGTGAGGCAGCGGATGTAGCAGACTCCCTTGTCTCGAAGCTTCCTTCCCAGATCCGTCTGCAACAATGAGTCCGTCACGCTCAAATTCTCGGAAAGATAGGTATCACCCTTGCCGTGTGTTGCCTTAATGCTGCAGAATGCCAGATTCTTCATGCTATGCTGGTTGTAGGCCATCTCATGGTGGTAGTGGAGCCACGCGTCATTCGGCGCTCCCACCTGCACGCAATTTTGCCACACTGCCAACAAGCTGCACTGCCTATGTGAAGTACCAGAACAGCTAATGCCTGCTAAGTTCACGTCCTGGGCAAAGGCAAGCGCACCTCGAAGACATTCTGGATAATGCCCTCACGCGGGTTGGCGCCACCTTCATAAGCCATTTGCTTCTTCACCTCGGCGGGAAGAGGCCCGAGCTCTTGCAACTTCAGCTTGTACACAACAGCGGGGCCCCAGACATGCTCCCAAGCACACGCACACTGAACTAGTAACGGTTAACCGTAACGCAGAGTCACCACAGCACGAGCATATCTGCGCATAGCCTCGGGGTCGTTGAGGCCTGCGCAAGCATTCTGGCATATTTTGACATCCCCGGCCCTGCACTCAAATACTTGCGCTGGCTCAGTTAGCTTCCGGTCGGTGCACTACGACGAAAGGGATCTCTGTCAATGTTGCTGCAACAGATCACTGCGTGGGATTGTGCTTCTTCTTGCCACGTGCAGCGTCTCTTTCATTAACTCTGGCTGCTCATCAGATCAGGAAGGGAAGCACATATCGGTGGGAGGCCCTGCGACTAAGCAGGACATCTGTATTGCAACAGCATTATTGCCACAAAAAAGCCACGTGCGTTGAGCAACTGGAGACAGCGCAAGGCCATCCTGAATCCTGTGTTGATGGCAACGTCGCGCCTGTGTTGGTGAGCCGAACAACGCCGTATTGGTCATAGGTGGTCTGCATGCCTCAATCTCGCAACCGATGAGAAAAACTGAAGGGGCCAACATCGACAGACCTGCCATAATGCCGCGCAAGGGGCGGTCGAAGAGTTCCATTTCACCCCAAGTGCCGGGCTTGTAGGGCCGGCAATCCTTGGCAGGCCGAAAGTTCCGGAAGCAGGGCAGAAGCTGCCTTGGGGGGGGGGGGGGGCTGAAGGGCAGCTCCCAAGGAGCCAACCTTCGTGATTCCCATCAGCCTCCTGTTCACGGAGCCAAGGGAACCAGATGATAACGGTGAACAAGAGGCAGCAATACAGGGGGCTTCTAGGAGATTCCGGAAGGTTAGACAGGCGGTTGGAGTCCCGAGGGCAGGTTCTTAGTGGCTTGGAAACCGGAGCTAGACACAGAGAACATCACAACTGACCGTGTACTAAACCTCTGTCTCTGGGCACCCTTGTGCAGATCAGCAGCGATGGAGAACATCTCCACAGGTACTTTGTCTTCGCCCTTTCCTCATTTTTTGCGGAGGGACTTCAGCAAGACATGCCACGACCACAACGGGGCAACTGCGGGAACCCGGCATGAAAGCCATTGGACTCCCCAAAAAGAAAGCCGTTGATTAATATGAGTTAGTAAGATAGTCATGGGATACAATGAGTACCGCTCAGATTGCCAGGCCCAGGTCTCGAAAGGCAGGAATAATGCTCGGCGCGCTTATCCAGAAGCCCGGCATGCGTCCGCCCGGAGGCATCCCACCGGTGAACATTTTTCGCACCTCTGCAGCAGCTGCAGGCACACACAGCTCTTCGAGCCTCCTGGGCCTTCCGGACTTCGCGACTCTAGCCATGGAGCCAAACTTTACACTGGAACTGAGAACACCATAAGAAACTTCCGTCTTCAGCTTTTGCGCATCTTCTCACCGGCACCTGGTGGGGGCGAACGCCACGCAAGGCTGAAAAGGCCATCGTCAGAGTGATGGAGGCAAGATCCCGTGACCCTGTCTGAACCAAAATCTAGCTGGCATGCAAAAGCTTTGCAGACGCCCGAACCGCCGCAGCAAACAATCTGCTCCCTCTGTGTGGAAATGCCATGAAAAAGAGAAAAATGCGATAGCTTCCAACTGAATCCAACTCTGAGACCCGTGCGGCGTGCAGCGCCTCCGCCATGGTCGCCAAGCCGTGGCGGAGTGCCGCGACCTCCGCTTCCGCTTCCCGATGCCCCAGCTGCAGCTTCGGAAGGCCAAAAGTGAATGCTGGTCAAAGCTTCGTATGGGGCTTGGGGGGATTCTCTCTAATGGCATCTTCTGGCATATGCCAGGAAGCGTGCGACGGACCAAACCTGTTCAGACATGTCGATCTACCAACTGCCTGAAGCCCCGAGGCCTCCGAATCCAGCGTTTGCCGCAGCATTGCCACGTCTCCGTCCAGGCGGAGGAAGCGCTGCCGGGGTGCTGCTGTGTGGTAGCGAACTCTCCCGAAGTCTAGCCAATGCATCAAGTCTAGACACGCCGGAGCATGCAAGGCCCCTGGAATCCACAGGGGCTGCAATCAAAGCAAGACGACAGCGCAAGCTTCACACAGTCTATGCAAGTCAACCCTTGCCCCCCAAGCCTCTTCGAGGCGGAAGAAGCTGGTCTCCCAGGATCGGGTCTGGGACACAATACCAGACTCAGTGGCTGGGAGAAGGCCCCAAAAAGCCATACAAATTGGAATCACTGGCGCCCTGCCCCCCCACAATACCAAGCTCGAGAAGAAGAATTCAATACTTATACAGCAAGCCTCAGTGTAGTTCCGTATACTTCCGAAACTCCTGGCCTCCCGGCAATCGGCACCGAGGGAGCGCGGACCTGAGCCCTAACATGTCCGAACGCTTAAGGACTACCCAAAGCTAGCTTGCGAGATGCCGTGCCTGATGATACCTCCATGTAACCCTGACTGGCTCGCTACACAAGTCCAGAACACGCTCTAGATGAAGTTTCACGATGCGTCACGGTCCTGTAGCCAGGTCCCTGCTATCCTTGCGGCATTTCAGGCAAAGGCGTGATGCTGGCCGCTCAGCCTCAGCCTTGGTGGGCCACAGTTGGCTGCGAATGTCGCTCTTGGAGGCTAGCAGTTCACATAGAAGTTCACATGATCTCTTGCTGCAGAACGTGTCTCAAAAGCAACTCCGAGAACACAATCGCCTTGCGCTCGCGAAGAGATGCCGACAGCTCCTGGCAAAGCACAGGGCTTGAAAGGTCCTCTGAGGGTGTGGAACAGCCAGGCTCTATCTCGGGTTCGATCAGGCAAGGCTCATGGCTCAGAGCGCGATGCGCACGCTGGCTGGCCTTGAGTGCCATGGCCATCACTGCCTGAAGCACAGCACATGCTCCTGTTCTGCTACAAGTACTTCAACAACTGACGTGTGCCGCAGGACGGTGTGCCGCTGCTTCTGAAACCCACCCTAAACCCTCGACACCCTAAGGCCCTGGATACCCTAAACCCTCCACAGCCCAAAACCCGAAATACCCTGGAACCTTCAATGCCCAAAAACTCAAACTGCCCTAAACCCTCAATACCCAAAAACCCCAACAGACGCAAAAGCATCAAGACCCTAAGTCCACAAATGCCCTAAAGCCTCAATACCCTAAAACCCTGCAGACCTAAAGCCTCAACGCACATGCTTCTCGGTCTTGTTGCTTTGGAACCCATACTGAGGGGTCTTGACCGCACTTCGTCCGACCCTACCTGCACAAGTAAGACTCAATTCAAGCCTCGCTCCGCTAGCTTGCCATCCTCTCCCGAACTTTTGCCTGTCTCAGCTTTGCCCGACCCTGTGGCCTTCTGGCATTCTTAGGAGCACCTTCAGCAGCCCCACATAGCGAAGGCAAACCACAAGTGGCGTCTGTCATGCCCAACATGACACAGTGCACATCACCTAGAAATCATACGACAATTTGCGTTGTATCTTATCTTGGCGCCTACAGCCTCAACTAAAGAGTTTCACATGTCACCGGTGCAAACTTTTCGGCCGGCAGCAAGGATGGCAAGACACGAATTTCTCAATGCGGCCTTAAGATGCCTGACACGATGCGCCACACACCAGGACTAGTGCTTATCACCCAGATCGCCAAGATCAATAAGGCATCAGAAGTGCCATGCAGCAGTCCTTTTTTCCAGTCATTTCAGCTTCTTGGTCGAGGTGGCTACACTTCGGGGCAACTGGCTTCTACTGGGATTCTACTGGTCAGTGAGGCTCAGTTTCCCTCCTGCGCGTTGTCGACAACGCCAAAGTGACCTCCACGAAAGATTCTAAACACCAGGTGCTATTGAAAACCAAGAGAACCATGTCTCTGAACTTGGAACTCATTAACTGTTGGGCTGCTCTGGGCTCTATGACTAGGATTTCAGGAGAGCGTCCCGTTCAACCGGGCCCAGCTTCAACTTCCAAGGCACAACCACAACGACAGGGGTGACTACCGGGGCTCAGAGCAAGCTGATGGGCTGGCTTCCAGAAACAGCAATAATCCATGGCGCATCGCTGCTTCCAATGCACTTTTGCTCTCCCCAGCTCTTGATCCAGCATTCGCCCAAGACGTGATGGCAGCCAGAGCGAGAGAGGGCTTGAAGACATTTCAAGATATCACTTGACGTTGACAAGACGTGCCCATGGCCGCCATCGATCGAGGTTGAATATCTGACCCAACCACTGAATTCGTAGCCTGTGAGCGAAGATTGGAAACAGCAGAGTCATAATGGCACATGCTTGCACCACGCTGGTCGAGCCCATCTCAGAGTTTGACTCAGCTTTGACTTCCACTCTCCCTCGGCGGCTACGTTGCTTTTGCCGTGGTCATGGCTTCTTTCAGGAGCTCATGAAACGGATCGGCTTCATGTCGCCAGTCTCCTGCCCCAGGGACATGGCAAGACAGCTTCTGTTTTGAGCATCGCACCGGCCCGAACACATTACTCTCGCAACAAAGTACGCATCTCAAAGCTGTGCCTTTAGATGTGTCCAGCTTCCTGCGGCTTGCCAGCTCCACAGCCGAGATCCCATGTCCTGCCGTGCACGCACAACAATCTGCTTGCAACCACACCGCCATGAGCATAGCGGCGAGCCGCCATCCAGCAGACCAGGATCAGCATTCGCTGACAGGAGCGCTCGGCAGATTTCGAGCCTGACCGAGATGGAGCAGGCATGAGCTTTCCGGGATGCCAACGCATCAAGGCACCAAGCTTTGCAGCAGATCTGTCTCTGACTCCACTGCCTGCTGGCTGCCACCGCTGCGTGCAAAGGTGTGCGGCCCAGCGCATCACGAACACCTGCATCGTGGGCTCTATGAGCTGCACATATCTGCGCTTCACGTCCGCTCCCCCCTCAGACTGAAGAGGGGCCCAAGGCTTAAGGCTTAAGGCTTTAGCCGGATGGAGCCTGCCCGCGCGGCTGCCTCGCCTTCAGAGCGTGCGAGAAGAGCATGGACCACCTTTGGGATGCTGCCGGGCCAGCGAACAGCACTGAGCAACGGAAAAGCCCCGAAGACATCTCTACTACAGTGCCTGCTGCTCTATTGATATACCTTACATTTGGCTTTGCGGTCCTTCTCCGCGCCCGTCGCGTCGTTCCCGACGATGGCCTGAAGGATGCTTTGCGTATGATCAGGCCTGTGGGATTACAAGTCGACAGTGAGCACAGAAGCACATGTGCCAAAATGTGTGCGAAAATGTGTGCGAAAATGTTCTTGTGCGAAATGTGTGTGTGTGTGTGCGAATGTGTGTGCGAATATGTGTGCGAATGTGTGTGCGAGTGTGTGGTGTGTGAGAGAGAGCGAGAGCGTGGGAGCGTGAGAGTGCGAGAGCGTGTGTGTGTGTGTGTGTGTGTGTGTGTGTGTGTGTGTGTGTGTGTGTGTGTGTGTGTGTGTGTGTGTGTGTGTGGGGGGGGGGGGGGGGGGGTGTGTGGGGGGGGTGTGTGGATGTGTGTGGGGGGGGTGTGTGGGGGGTGTGTGTGTGAGAGAGTGTGTGAGAGAGTGTGTGAGAGAGTGCGTGAGTGAGTGTGTGAGTGTGTGAGTGTGTGAGTGTGTGAGTGTGTGAGTGTGTGAGTGTGTGAGTGTGTGAGTGTGTGAGTGTGTGAGTGTGTGAGTGTGTGAGTGTGTGTGAGTGAGTGTGTGTGAGTGAGTGTGTGAGTGTGAGTGAGTGTGTGAGTGAGTGTGTGAGTGTGTGAGTGTGTGAGTGTGTGAGTGTGTGAGTGTGTGAGTGTGTGAGTGTGTGAGTGTGTGAGTGTGTGAGTGTGTGAGTGTGTGAGTGTGTGAGTGTGTGAGTGTGTGTGTGTGTGAGTGAGTGTGTGAGTGTGAGTGAGTGTGTGAGTGTGTGAGTGTGTGAGTGTGTGAGTGTGTGAGTGTGTGAGTGTGTGAGTGGGGTGAGTGGGGTGACGGCCGAATCAGCCAAGCATGACTCAGCAAACATGAGGACAAATCAGAAAACAAGCAAGGGCAAATCAGAAACCAGCAGGGGACGAATCAGCAAACCCACCTAATCACCCAACCTAGGGGAACCTAACCTAACCCAACATAACCTGACATAACCTACCCCCACAGAACCGTAACATGCCCCAACCTAACCTAAGGTAACCTAACCTAGCCTAACCTAACCTAACCTGAGGTAAGATGATAGGGTTTAGGGGCGTGCTTTAGAAAGCAAAGTCACGAACAACGCAAGGCATCTTTTTTTCTGTGCTTTCTGCTACTGCAGGTCCTAAAAAAAGCCTAAACCCTAAAACCCTAAAATCCCAAGTCCTAAACCGCTAAATATTCCCTTAACCCTAAACCCTAAAAACCCCTGAACCCTAAACCCTAAACCCTAAAAAAACCCTGAACCCTAAACCCTAAAAAAAAAAACTAAGCCTAAGCCCTAGCACACCCAAATCCCTAAAAACAATCAACCCTTTACCCAGCCCTAAACCCAAGAAAACCCGAAACCCTAAACCCTAAAACCCTAAAAACCCCTAAACCTTAAAACACCCTAAACCCCAAAAGCCTTCAAAACTCCTGAACCCTAAACCCAAAAACCTGGCCCTAAAGCCTAAACCCTAAAAACCCTAAACCCTAAACCCTAAAAACCCAGCCCTAAGCCCTACCCTAAGAACCCCTGAGCACTAAACCCAAAAAACCAAAGCCGTAAAAACCCCTCAACTTCAAACCCCGAAAACTCTAAACCCTAAAAACCCCTAAGCCCTAAACCCTAATAAAATCCAAACCGTAACAAACCCTAAACCCTAAACCCTAAACCCTAAAAACCCCTAAACATAGGCATGTGTTTTCAAACCCATCATGCGAGCATTGTGCTTTCAAATGGGGGGGGGGGGGGGGAGGGGGCTGCGCCCCCCCCCCCCACGCACCCCCCTTCCGCACCCCCCCCTTTATTTTTTTCGAACCGATCACTCGCATTGTGTTTGCAATGGGAGGGGGCTAAAAATCTCTAAACCCAAAAAACACCTAAGCCCTAAAAAACCCTACACAAGCCCCTAAACTCTAAACCCTAAATCCTAAAACCCCGAAAGCCTAAAAAACCCCGAAAACCCTAAAAACCCCTAAACTCTAAACCCCCAAAAAACCCTACAAAAACCCTAAACCCTAAGCCCTAAAAAATCCCAAAACCCTAAATCCTTAAAAACCCCGAAAGCCAAGAGAGACCAATGTAAAATGCACGGCTGTCCATGGATGCTGAGTTGCTGATTCTGCCCTTGCTGTTGTCTGAACCACGGATGTCTGATTCGAGGTCTTGTTTTCTGATTTGGGCAGCACCCTGTGCGAGTGTGTGAGTGTGTGAAAGTGTGAGTGTCTGAGTGTGTGAGTGTGTGAATGCATGAGTGTGAGTGCGTGTGAGCGTGTGTGAGTGTGTGAGTGTGTGAGTGTGTGAGTTTGAGTGCGAGAGTGTGAGTGTGGGGGGGTGAGTGTGGTGAGTGTGTGAGAGTGCGTGAGAGTGTGTCCTGTGTGTGTGTGTGTGTGCTTGTTCGGTGGACGGGTGGGTGGATGGCTGGCTGGCTGGGCTGCGTAGCCATGGCTCCGCTGGCGGACCTCCTTCGTGACGCGCTTGAGGCCGATTTGTCCCAGCATGTCGCCACAGATGCGCTCTTACAGGCTGCCCGCTGACTGGCGAGGGTCTTTGCCACGTGACCGCGTGCCAAGTCCCCCTCCTCTGGCCTCTCAGAATCGTTGGCCGCTGCTCTCTGCTTGGCGCTGGCTGGTTCCCATTCCCGACCGGGAGTCCCTTCTATCCTGGGGCTCCGTCATTGAGGCTGCTTTGGCTGCTTGGGCGGCCATGGGCTGAAATTTTGGGCATGGGCACGATGACCTCTTCGACCTGTAGGCTGTCCTCCTCACTGGAGCTTGTAGGCAGTGGCTTGTTGAGGGCCTCGTCCTCCTGGATGTCTGCCCAAGTTGGGCGGCCCTCGGAGGCAGAAGGCGTCGGGCGTGCGCGTGCGGGTGCGGGCGTGCATGGGTGCGTGCATGCATAGGTGCGTGCGTGCATGCGGGCGTGCATGCGTGCATGCGTGCGGATGAAGGAGGGCAGGAAAAGCAGAAAGAAGAAGCATCAATCGTTTCCTGGATCTGCGCCTTGTGCAGGAGCTCAGCTGTCTCGGTTTCCCCGAGCGGCTCATGAAATCGATGGATGTCTCTGATGAAAGCGGCGTGGTTGCCTTTCAAAGCACATCTCTAGCTAAACTAGTCCAGGCAAGAACCCTTTTCTGCTGCTCAAAATTCCTGAAGATGTGCAGGCTATGGGGTTGCTAGGGTTGCTCACTTGCTGCTGACCGCTCACGAAGCTCCATGAAGCTTGCAGATTGTGAGCATACCCGCTACACCAGCCTTCAACTAGGCATCTGACTCGTCTGGGGTGGGGGGGGGGGTGGAAGCACTCGGATGAAGAAGGTTTCTCAAATGCTTTGAAGCTCACCAAAACAAGATGCCGCGGGGAGCTGAACCCTGAAGTTGAGAGAACCTTCGGCGAGACAGTTTGCATCGATGCCTCCTGCGGCTGCGGTCTGCAGCTGTCGCAGGAAGAAGCCCCCTCAGCTCGAAGGTCTCGGCTCAACCGGGTTCCCTCCCTTAAGGGGGAGCTTGCTTGATAAGGACCCGGGTCAACCCCGGAGCCAACACGTCGCAGCAAAGCGGCGCTGCGCCTGGCTTACGGCACTGGCCGTCGTGGACTTCGCTTTGGGGAACTGCGGCCTGCCAAGCGAAGCAGACATGTTCCGGCTGTTCGGGTTGCTTGGAGTTTGCGCCGTAGGGTTTTGGGTGGGCATTTTATCCCAGAAGCCCTCGACCAACAGCACAGACGAGAGGGAGCCTCTTCAACGCTGGCAAGGCCTCCTCCACCTTCGGGGCCAGCATGCTTACGCTTAGGCTTGCCGCTGCAGGCTTCTTCCACCACAACCAAGCTGTGTCCGAGTCCGCAACCGCCTCAGGGGTGCTTGGCGCGGGAACATTGCGTGTAGGCGTCGCCGGGGGCCGCTCTGAGCGCGGCCGCTTCAAGGGCCCAGAGGCCTGGATGGACAATGGCGATTCAGAGGAACGCCAAAAAGGAACTCAATGATGCCTGAGGAGATAATCAGGATACTATTCAAGATACCCAAGACATCCCAAAAAAAACAGCGCCGCCACTTCGCCGAGCTGCAGCAGTCGCGACTTGGGGCAGCTCATGGCCGACCTGGACGAGGAAGATGGCCGCAGCTGCGCCGTGCTTGCAGAGGCCTCCCCGCGTCCTGAAGTCCACGCAGCTGCACCGGGCATCCACCTGTGGAAGATCTGCTGAAGGACAAAAACGACAAGTTCCGTATCAAACCAGCGCAGACCCAGCACGGGCGCAACGCAACAGCCCCCTTAACCAAAGAATCGCGAGAAGAGTCCTCTTCTCTCAAAAGCAACAGAAGCCGCTACTTGTACCCGAGGCGAGCACCTGCCCTGTTCCATCGCGCCCCAATCGCACGGTGTATGCTCGGGGACCACTTTCCTCAGATTTCGCAAACGGCACTTCATACCATGACCCTCAGCGGAATCCCCAAAGATCCCCAAAGCCCGAATTTGCAGCCAGCCACGCTTTGAACCTCTGCAGCCACTCCACCATCTAGGCACCTGTTGCGCAGCTGTCGTGAAGGGGTGGCTCGTGGATACTGCACAGTAGCAACGATTCTCAAGTAACTGAGGAATATCCTCAGCTCAGTTCCTCCAACCCCTTGCAAGAGTGCTTCGTTGCAGCGTAGATCCTGAACCACCCTAAACCCTAAACCGGGAAGACTAAAAACCCAAATGTCTGCAAGCAACGGCGCCGACCAACGATCTTCACTGCCCGTTGCTTGAGCAGCTGCATCCTGGGCTACGCTGGCCCGGCAAAAAAATCGAGGAAATCATGTTCCGTCTATAGCCGTGCATTTGCACCCTCCCGTGTCGCGAACGTGCGTTTTAGGCTCAAGCTTGCAGGCGGCACTCGCGAGATGTGGGCTGCTGCCCCAACCTTGCTCAATGCGAGCGACTGCTACCCTAGCCTTCCTCGATGCAGTCCCTGCTGCCCCAATCTTACTCGACGCGATTCCCATCCCAACCCCCCCCCCTCCCCCTCACTGTCGAACATTGATTTCCAGCCTCCTTAAACCACTCCAAAACCCAGATTCCCAACCAAGGCAGGAGTGGAAGCCACCCCGAACAACTTCGCTTACGCAAGCTTATAAACTTGTTGCTTACGCGGACCCTTACGCGTGCGTGCCTCAACTTGCGCGGGGCAGGGTTTCCGCAGCCCCTTTACATGTTTCATCATACCCAGTTTGGACCTTGGTTTTTGAGCAGATATCGTCCCTTTGTGCCCTTGGCGTGCTCTTGGAGCGGTGATGGAGTGATCTTGGAGTGGTCTTTGAGTGTGTGAAACTGTTTGGAGTCTACGCTGGCACAAATTAGGGCTTGCGGATTCTTGCGGCCTGGAGATTCGTTGGGATGGTTGTTTCCCAGATTTAAGACTCACGGTCAAGGACTGCTACAGCAGCCAACTGAAGATGAGATCTGCTGCACAAGCCAGAGAAAGAACGTGGCCCTGAAAAAACTCTAGTCTTCAAGTTGGCTCAGTGGCGCTTTGGTCACGCTTCCAGGGTTTGCACCTTCGCACTTGCTCAATACACTCACTGAATGGGAAAAGGCAGACTCAGACTGTCCCAAAAAACGCCGTGCCCGCTGCTGATCCCTGGCCTTTGGTGACAGCCGCAATGTCGTCATTGCATGGCAGCTCCTCCATGATCTCCATGGCAGCTCAGCGTCAGCTCGCGACGGCGCTACATCGAGGAGAGCCGCTGGCGCGTGACAACTTGGATGATGTTTGCATCACTGGCACCCTCAAGATATGGGGTTTACTATGACTCATCGAAACGTGCAAGTACCTCTCTTGTTGTGCAACCCAGCGGTATATATTTTCTGCATGCTGGGGGCCGAGAAGCTATACGGAGCTGCAAACCTCGCACAGCCAGACTTCGGCAAATGGTCACAACATTGGTTCGACTCCGTTTCATGGGCTTTTCCCAGCAAGTTTGAGGCTGTCGGCTCTGGCGCCTTTCACCTGATGGATGCTGGCGACACTGGCGACCCACTCGAAGCGAAACCTTAGAGGAGGCACTGGTTCACGCAGATTCGTCCATTCTCTAGGTAGAACGCTCAGAGATGTGAGCCTGTTGCTCTGCTTGGCTTTCCTTGCTGCCGCTTCTGCCTTTTCCCGATGATGGCTAGCATCCGGATGGCTTCAAGTACCTACAGGGCAGCTGCAGATTCCCGCAGCCACCCAAGCAGCCAACCGCCTGAGCACCAAAAGCTGCACACCCCAGGCTCACAGGCCCTAGCTGGCTATAAAACAATTCAAATGTCGGCAGCAGCTCACTCACGCTTCACTGGTCTTTGCAGGCTCTTGTCGTCGGCTCGGAACTGCATCATTGTGTTGAACCTATGGGGATGAAACTTGAAATGACACTGGTGACGCGGCTGCAAAGTCTGGATATGTCAGCCAGGGCGCTTCACGATGTACTGCTTGTCTCCGAGAGTCATCGTGTACTGCTTGAATCCTTTGCCCCAGGCATCCTCCAACTGCTTGTTCATCTTGGCGTTGTATTTCGTCCAAGCCTCTGAGCAAGTTGGGCAACGCGCAGGAGGTGGCAGTTGGCACACAGACCATCCCAGACCTCAAGCCTGCCTTTAACAACCTGCGTGCTCACTGTTTCATGTCACACAACTGTGCAACAACCTGTCCAGCTCGCCTTGGGATCATCTGCCCCAACCTTCATTTTTCGCAGGTCGCTCATGTAGTACCACTTGCCTTCGCCGGCCACGGTCTCCTGTCCAGGCCCAAGGCGCAAACATCAAGGCCCTTTTGAGAATTCTGAACTCAAGTGAAATCTGAGGTAGCCGTCGCACAATCTTAGCGTGTTGCATCTCATTGCCGTCCTTGCTTTTGCTTTTCTTCAGCTTGGAGGCAACCGCTGCGAATTCCTTTGCTGCAATGGCCTGAAACACAAAAATCTTGCCTGCAGCAAACCACTGACCATCTGGTCGACAAGCAAATGAGTGCGGAAAGCCTTTGCCGTGCCCTTGACCGCTGTTTTGATCACACCACGGGCGGCTGCTGCCTTGCCAGAGGGATCCACACGACACTGCGACAGACATTGCGATCTGAATACTTACGATTCTTACCTGCTATTAGTATCTGCTACGGGGAAGGTGCTCTAGGTCTCTAGGTTTCAAGTTGGGCTCAAAGATAGCCTGTTGTGTATTCGCATGGTTGCCTGAACTGTTTCTCATGAAGCCCGCCAAGTTTGACTTTTCGGGGAAGCTGCTTCCCGAACCAGCACCCCCCGCCCCCACCCGCGGTTGGGAAGCATGGCTTTGGAATGTCTTAGGCCCAAGCAAGCCTAGCTTTGGGATGTTTGGGCAGTCCAGACGGGGGTTGGGAATCCTGAAATGGGTGGGGAAAGACATTTCAACGCGGCAGCAGCTATTTGTGGTCAGAGTTGAGGGCCCTGAAGTCCCGAAGGCAGCAGGTAGCCGAAACACCGCGAAAAATGGGCCTTCGCCTTGGCCTTGCCCTTCGCCTTGGCCTTTGCCTTGGCCTTGGCTTTGGCTTTGGCCTTTGCCTTGCAGAAAGGGCCCGGCTGAGGGCGACTGCCGAACAGAAAACACCCTAACCACCACAAGCATGCCGAAATGACAGACAGGTGCGACACTCACACTGAGCTGCCTTGGCAACCACAGCACCGCGGGCTGGAAGCGCTTTAGCCTGAAGATGTCACCGCGTGTGTTATCTGAGCAAGGCGCACCGAGGGCGCTGTACTGCGAACAGCTGCCAGCACTGATATGCCTTCTTTTTCGGAGGCTCCTCAGGCTCTTCCTCATCTTCCTCCTCCTCAGCCTCAGGCAACACTCACTCCGATTCACCCCGCGTGCTCTTTGTCCACTCGCCTCTGCGTCCTCCTCCTCCTCCTCCTCGACCTCCTCCTCGACCTCTGGCTCCTCCTCCTCCTGCGCAAGCTCCGACGGGATGCTCACATTTTGCAAAACAGAAAGGAGAGAATGGAGAGACCGGAGAGACCAACATGAACAAGGCTGCCAAGCCTTGGCAGCGGCTGCTTTTGCAGCAGCTTTCCGCTTGGGCTGCACACGCGGAGGCATGGCGGGGAGGCAGGGCACGGAGGTGGTCGACACGGAGGGGCTGGTTCGAGCTGACAGCAGCTTACTGAGCCTGGCGAAGTGGGAGGCCGAAAGCCTTGCAGAGTGCCACCTGCGACCCGCATCTTGCAGACAGTGACAGATGGTGCCGAGTCTCCCACGCTCCATAGAGGAATGTCCTCGTGTCTGCGCCAACATGAAAAGAAAGAGTGAACCATCCATTTCCCCCAAGTCTCGCAGAGCACCGCAGATCCTTTGCCAGCAGCTTGGGGATGGTCGGCCAGGCCACAGAGGTCGGCCACAGAGGTCGTCCGAGCGCCTCACGTCAGCATCATGCAGACAGCCCAGAAAATCAGACAACTTGCCGACCCATCATGTGCCCCATCCCGTTGCACCAAGAAAATCGTTCACCGGATTTACTAAGCCAGCCGTGCTTGCATTGCTTGCGACACTTTGTACCCCTGCCTGCTGCGCAGGTGACTCGGGCATCAACACTCCACGGGAGGGTGGGGTTGAGATCCTCCAACGAAAGGAACGTAAGGTCCACGTAAAAACACCCTTGTCATAAGATTCTCTGTAGAGGTCCCAAGAAGAGCCCGTGATTAAGAAAACGCCCACATGTTCAGAAGACTTCGTTCGAAACCCTCAGCTGACCATACATCAAGTACAGAAGGCAAACCCCGGCCTTTGAACGTCGACTCATTCGCAGTCCATAGCAGGATTCCCGCGCGAAACTCATCAGGATCGGCTAGACGTCCTTGCTTCGAGCGGAGTGCGTTGCGCCCTGCTCACCACCGCTTTCTAAGCTTCTGACATGACGCTCTCTTTCACCGGATGCACGGCATCCCACTCTGCCGGCTCCATCGCTCAGTCGAAATCGGATTCACATCCTCCGGTCTGAGCTGATTGGCCGTGTGGCCATCGTCAGGCAAAGCTTCTGAGCCAACTGCTGCAGAATCCTGCGCCTGTTTATATCCTGTTTATCTGGGTGTCAGGATGTCCTCTGCTTCTTGTGGCCGACTCTCTGAAGCAAGGCAATTTCTACACAGAAACTTCCTTCCACACGCGCGGATAAGCAGCCTTCTGGCGATTAAAAGATGTAGGGGCACTAAGCACAGCCTTCGGCTGCTAATTGCTCGAGCCCATGTCCCAGGTCCCTGGCCATGGCACATCAACCCTACTTATAGCACGTTGGCTATGATACAGTGGTGGTACAAATTAAGAACAATGGACCAATGGACTAAACGTCTATCAATTCTCTTGTATGTAGAGGAGAATAGGGCATAGGATGCTGGAAGCATGGTCGGGGCGTTTGCGGCACAAGCTCAGAGAGTCTAAAACACCTGAAAAGTCATGTATGCCGTCGAAGGACAACTCCCTTCGAGCGGACGGATCAGTCCACTACCTGACGCTAGCTAGGTTTCTGACGCCACGATAGCATGTAGCCTACTTGACGCCGGCAAATCTCGGAGTAAAGCAGACACTTCTGCACACTTCGATGGCGTCCGGAAGAAGTCTCTCAAACTTGGTGGCGCAAATAAGTCGGCGCTCATGCTCAGCATGATGCCGTGTGCTATGAAAATCGTGTCTTCGGTAGACACAAGTATTGTTGCAGTCTCAGAAAGCAGCAAAGCATGTTCTGCATTGATCAACTCGTTGCGATTCGATCAGGCGAAGTGCTCGGCCAGGAGATAACTACTGTTGTTTCAAGCTGCTACCACGGCCTTCGCAAGTCTCTCGGAGTCTTACGGCCCTGCGCACACTTGCGCCAGCAGGCTGCAAAACATCGCAAAATCAAGATTCCAGAACCTCCCTGCAGCCAGAAGAGTGCTACGAACCGTCTCCCAGGCACCAACGATCTTTGCCAGAAGCCTGTACTCTAGCAACAGAAACGTGAGTTGCTTGGACTCAAGCAGGTGACATGTTGACTCATAGTACGTTGGCGCTCAGACGCCGCACAGTCCTCATAAATTCTGCCATCAGGCCTTATGCATTCCGACTTTTCGAATCTCCTGGCTGCTGGAGTCTGAGATTCACTTAGGGACGGAGCTGGCACGTGGATGGCCAATCACACCCAGCACGATGGGCGCTCGCAGAATCATTTCCTGGGGCGCCTCCCAGTCCTGCTCAGCCCGCAATGCCAGGTTCAGCGAAAAGCTTAGGCTTGCACTTCGTGTGGAAGCCTTCTTCACTAGATCTTTGAGCTTTCCATGTTACAGCATTGGGCCTTGGTACCACAGTAGCGGGCACGCGGGGATCGACGGCCACAAGCATACTCCTGTCGAAGGGCTTGCAGCGCAACGCAAGGCAAGCTCACCACTCCCCTGAATAAAGAACCAGTGAAGTATTGTCCGGTTGAATTCACAAAGCGATACCAAGATTCCACTAATGTGAACTACTGCGGATCCAAAATTTGCAAAGCTGGGTCCATCTCAGGTGCCTTGCGCCAGCGGTTCCTCTCCACGGGCTCCACAGGCAACAGTGGCTCCTGCAAATGCTTCGGAAAACGCGACAGCACACCAGGGTATCGACCAGCAGCACCGCAGTGCCTCAAGGTACTTGCAAAGAAATCACACATCTCACAACCAGTTTCAGATGCAAGCGCGGTCCTTGCCCGGGATACGTGTGCCCGGCCGCTGCAGGTTTCCACCTTGCAAGCCAAGTTCTGGCAGGATCATTCCTGATCCTTGCTTATATGATACTTACCATATGGTTCATCTGATTTACATGCTTCTGTCACAGCCTACCATCTAACGTTGATCTCTGTGCACGCAGGAAGGGCAGATAATTCAATCGCCAGTTAAAGCCCCAGCCTAGGGCACGCAGTCGCCCTCCGGGCGGTGGTGTAGTTGGCACTTTGGTCTGTGGCAGAAAAAGGGAGCTCGCGTACGTGGCTTCGCAAGATGCCATGGCTCTTGGGGCCCTTTTGGGGTCCTTACTGCAAACTGGTGCCAGTGGAAGCTCACACTCAGCAGCCGAGGCCCAGCCCTTCACAGGCCTTGAACTTCTGAAGCCTCGATGCGGAGGATGCATCAGCCTTGTGTTGCAGTTGGACCCCAGTTAGAATCTGCAAGGAACCCACCCGTTCTATCTTTTCCTCTCCGTTGCTTTGGCCTTCAGGGGGCTCTTTTACTTGGCCGTTTCTTGAACCATGAAGCTTCCAAGTTTCAATGCTCAAACACACCATGACTTCGCCCTCACCCCGCCAAGGCATGCCAAGGCATGTCATGCCATTGCATGTGAGGTGCAACTCCAGCCTTGGCCCCGAGGGCTGGCTCTGGCGGCATCAAATCCTAGCAGTGCTCTGAGAGCTTGAAACGCTGGACGCCAACAGAAAACAGGCAAAGCTTAAACAACTTACGCCTGAAAGAGGCAGAATATTCTCGCGACGAAATAAACAAATGGTCCGTCGCGTCCCTGACACACTGTCACTAATTCTAAAGCACGTGAAAAAGTGGTAAGAACGGCTCCTTGAAGTCCGCGCAGAAGTCGCTCACGTATGTCGTCTGCCAGCGGAAACTTCTGAGGCCTCCATAACATGAGAAACCACTTTGCAACGTTGCCCAAGTACTGTGGAACTCGTGCAGAACCCTTCGGTGCCCAAGCACACCAGCTAATGCATGTCTCAGTCGTCGGAAGAATGGAACTTCAATTGGGACTCGACCCCAGGTTCAAGCACGAATATTGGAATGAATTCGCGACTTTTTCTGCCGGGGGTGGTTGGGCCCAGGGGGTAGTGCAAAGTCTCAAGTAGGGCCACCTGTTCTTTCAAGAGGGCCCTGAACGAAAACGCTCTCCATTTCGCGGCGAGTTTTCGGTATTTCCTGCTTGGACTACCCACCCACCCATCCATCCCCACGCCACCTTTCACCCGCCCGCCCAAACTCACAAGCCCTCGCCCGTGGAAACTATCAGAACTGGGGTAATTCATGGGCATGGGTTTTGGGGCGCTAGGGACTCCCTACCACAGGCTTCCCAAAGCCTCAGTCCTTGCTATGCTGCAATGCCCCTTCCCATCACCCCACAACTCTTTCAAAAACACTTTCCCCAAGCTCGGCTTGCCTTGGCAGATACCGCGGAGGGAAGACTTGCCAGAGGCACCCACAGAGGCTCCCGGATCTGGGACTGTGAAGGTCATGCCTCAGGGGCCGGATATGGCAGAGATTGTAGAGATGGCAGCGGCTTTGTATTCTACGTCTATGCACGTGCCATAGACATGTTCAATCATGTTCACCATTTCGCAACGTTTGCAAGCCGATCTCAAATCAAGGCACAAAGAGTGCGAGAATGGTTGGGAACGGGGCGAGCACAGCAAATTACAAACCAAGGACCATCAATGACAGAGGTACGCTCATGAGAACAAACCCCAAACCCTGCCTCCAACCGGATCCAAAGCGCGAAGCGGTACGCTGCTGACCAGGCAGTCGAGGCTGTCTAAGGATGGAAGCTGGATGTTTTGGAGGGTGCTGCGTGTATCTGACGGTAATGGCACTAACAAAGTACGAGTACCGAACAGCTCACAGGAAAAAGCAGCTGTCAACACCACAGCAGCGGAAAAGATGGGAAGGCATTGGGATTGCCTTTGCTGCCTGTATCACATCTATGGTGCATGCAGCTTGTGGCCAAAATGGCTAACACGGTGATGCTCCAACAGCATGTCGTCCCGCAAGAGCGTGCAGAACACAATGACAAGATGAAGCTCTGCTTGCGATGGTTTCAAGTTCCCCTTCCGGCGCAGAGGTATCCGCCACTGCGGCTCAGACTCTTGCAGAACCTTGTGCTCGTGAAACACTGAGTCACAGGCAGCAGCTTTCCCCCAGCACAGATGGATATCTCCTTCTATAAGCTGTAGCCCTGAGAGTTCCCAAGCATGCCGGCACACCCCTTGCGCACCCATTGCCTCTGCGGGATTGCCACTTCGATTCCGTCTCATGCGGCTGCCTGTGACACCTGTACATGAACCTCTTTGCCTACAAGCGGACACTTGTGCGAAGATACGAAAGTACACGCTCAGGCTCAACTCGAAGCTAGATACTATTGCCTTGGCACTTGCTCCAGGATGCTGTTGGCTTCAAATGCGGCCTGAAGGTTCGCATGCGCGCGCCGTGGTGGCATGTGCAGTACTCACAAGCCTTTGGGACGGACAAATTCCAGCATTTGCAGCCCATCTTTGGGGTTCCGTAAACCTTTCGATGCTCGAAGGCTCTGCAGCGCTCCGCGGCGCTAGTCGCTCTCACGAGTGCTCGGGCTGCTGTCATAGGGGCCATCGTCGTCAGCAGCATCCCACTAGGCAGATGTGGGGATCACACGAGTCTGCTAAAATGGCGAGCTGATGCAAGCTCACCTGTTACCCGCAGCTCACAAACTGATGTCAGAAAGCCTTCCACACCTGTCCTATCCTGTCCTTGCGGCCAAGAGGTATCTTAGTTTGTCCCTGCTGCTGCTCGCGATACCCCACCTTGCGGGACATCTGGCAGCATCCCTCGGAAAGCCTGTGGCACCGCGGGTTGCTTCCAGGCGCCTGGACACAGCGACGTTTCTTCCGCATTGCTGAGGGCTAGCTGAGCTACCATTGTTTCATATCGTAAAAAATCATCTTCCAGAGCTCGCCGGAAGCGCAGCCGCTCCTAGAACATGTTATACCAAAAACGGTCTCCTACTGTACTTATTGTACTCATTGTACTTTCTGTACTTCTTGTATTTCTTGTACTTATCACACTTGTTGTACTTCTTTTGTCCACTTCCAGAGCACCTGCGTGGTCTCGAAGGAGAGGTAGGTGCGAGCAGTGGTCGTGCCGTCATCCCTGGCCAAGCGCACGAGCCCCCCTCCAAAGCCAACGGGCCACACAGCTTGCAATGCATTGATGGCACTGTCATGTCCGACACTGCTGGCAGCAAATGGTGTGGCTGCACATGTCACGAGATATCACGGGATGCCTCACATCAAAGGGAATTATCGGAGAGGACCATACCATGCCATCCTCGTCACGGTCCTTCGTGCACAGACAAGATCAAGGAACAGCAAAGCATGGCAAAAGAGTATGTGGGGATCCTCCTGTTTGAGTCGCGGAATGACTGAGAAGACGGGAAAGCAAGCCTGACCGTTTGACAACTGCAGGCCAGTCTGTGCTTGTTGAGCCTAGAGACGAATCATACAGTACACACAGACGAGCGTTGTGAAAGCACACCAAAGCCGCATCGCAGGTGGAATGAATATCCAAAAACGGTTTTGCACCGTTGCGTCGCACTGGGTGCTGAACCCTAGACCCTAAACTGCCCTAAACCCTAATTAAGCCTTAAACCTCACAAGCAACGGAGCTATCGATTTGCCTCCCCGATCTTTGTGCTGGTCAACTGCACAGATGCCAGCCAGAAATCGTACTTGGTGCTGCTGGAGACAGCCTGAGAGTGCACAGCTAAGTCTGCACGTGTTCATGCTGCAAACACACATCAATCCAATACGCAATCCAGGTACCAGAACTTTGGACCAACCCTTGCTGCACCGATCAAGGAGATACAGCTCACTATTCTCAGCAAGGCGGCAACAAACACCTCATCTGTCGGCACTACCTCCAGGGTGATGACCTTCCAAGTACATAGCCAATGTGGAACTCGCCCAAAGCACATGTCGTGCTGGTTCTTGGCCTCTCGAAAACACCATTGCTCCTTCTCAGAGCTCCAATCTCCCAGCTCTGTTTCCTGGTGCAAGGCAAGCCGCGGCAGCTGGCCATTCGATTATTTTGATTGCAAGTTCGTCCTTCAGCTTGTCATTGATGCGAATGCTGACATAGGGCCTCTGATCCTGCGCGCTTCTGCTTTGCCAGGGGAAGGGCGACAGAGCCCCGGCACATGGATGTATGCTGAAATATGCTGAAGAACGCGAGCTCATGTCCGACTAGGTGGACAGTCTCCTACAAACCACATTGTCAGGGGCGTGCAGCCTACAGTAGTACAGTCAGTGGCGCCTGCACCAGTCCGGGCCCCCCAATTTTCTCCACAGCTGCACTGTGAATGACAATGCTCAGCTTGAACCTGGCACTGGAATGAGCTCCGTCCGGTACTGGTCTCCGTAAGCTTGCTCGCGTTGGTTGTGGGGTGGTGGGGTGAAGGGGCGGGGGGAAGGGGGAAGGGGGGGAGAGTGAAGGTTTGCCACGGCTTGCCGTTGTTATCACACTGCTCCGTGGCACTGTGAGAGCCATGTACAACCCAAAGCTCCTATGTCTCAGGCCAGGCCAGGCACACGGCCGGGTATTGGCTGCACCTTTGCAGCTGGCCTGGGTGTCACCCGAAGCTGAATGTCTGGGTTCACAATGCGGCAAAAGGAAGTGCCGGTGAGCGCAGGAGTCTAAAGCCGGGACTGCGCAAGGGAACGAGCCACACTGCGCCCGGCAAGCATACCCAGCCTCGCAGCGAACGTGCATTCCCGTAGAGTGAGCACCAGAGATGCAAGAACCAAGCAAGCAGAGTTCTGTGTTTGAGTGACTGGGAGAGCCAAGGCCACGGCTACGAAGCCCAACGCAGATTGGATCATGCAGCCGCAGCGGCAGACAGCCTCAGCCGATTCCCAGACTGAGGACTGCAGCGATATGGCGCCAGTCTATGAGACGGTCCGACAGATTGCTGGCACAGATTTGTTCGACGGAAGAAAATGTCACTGGAGCTGGGCCCATGACTGGGCCAAAGGGTGTGCGGCTTCCACTGTGGAGGAAGGGGGAAGTTTTGTTTTTGAACGAGTGAGGCGGGATAAGCAATACATGACAATGCTCGATGGTGTCAATGACGAAGGATACTAGTACGAGAGTGCACTGCACGCCATAGGAAAAAACTTACCCGTGTCTGTGCTTGAGCCGCGTACGCAGGACCACAGCGTCCAGACGGAATCCGTGTCTCGGGTTATGCTCGGGCATCCACTAGGTCTCAGCCTTTCAAAAGGTGTCTACAGCAGCTTCCGCACATTCCCTCTTTCTCTGCCAGGAAAACTTGCGCACGATCAGCGGGGAGAGGCTGCATGAATCCTGCCACGGGTTTATAGGTGCTGGCATCGCTCACAGCTCGCACGGCATGTCCTGAACGGATCTACTATGACCTACTTGTGATCAAGCGTGCCAGCCTGGCCATCTCAGCTGCCTGCGTGCCATGAGGATTGTTTCCAAGTCGGGCCCCCTTAAATAGGGCACTTGAACAACTCGCATTAGGCCACCTGAATAATTTATTAGGATCATGTGCTAAGAAGACCCCGAAAGACCCTAACTTAGAATGACCCCCTCATACCGGCCAACAAAAGCGGCACATGATTGTTGCACTCCTTTGTAAGTTCTCTAGTTTATTGGTCATTTTCTGAAGTCCCTCGTTAATATAACACGGCAGCTTGCATCGAATATTCCCCAGAACAGGACCCGAACTTCGAGAGCGGACCATATGCATCTTGGATACCCTCGTGCCTTTGGATGCAGCGACGTAAGCATCGAGGGTCTTTACAGCAGCACCATTCTCCAGCGCAGCCTGCCGCATAGGGTTTGCTTGACTTCTGCCAAAATGTGGGAGTTACATGGGTCGCTTCTGGGAGATGTAGGAAACAGCATCGAGTATCAGAAACCAGCCTTGGCTGCAACAGTGCCTTCCTTGAAGCTCGACACCTTCAATCCAAGCAAGGCGAACTTCGAGACTGCGTGAAGCTCCGCGGCACTCCGTGGCCTTGCCGGCGACATACAGAGCAGCACTCGCGTTCATCATCACCATCTCGCGGACTGCCAGGCGACCCCTGCAGGACAGAGCAAGAAAAGCCAAGTATCAGAGAGAAGAAAGAAAAGAGCGAGGGAGAGAGAGGGAGAGGCCTTGGTCGCTTACAGCCCGAATGTCCGCCCAGCCTTCCTGCAAGGAGCTCACGCATCTCCACTGCGTTCTCCTCGGGGGTCCTGCCTGCGACCTGCATGCACCGGAACGACAGAAGCGGCGCAGACGAGTCAACAAGCTTGCCCTGGAATCCCTGGATACCAACTTCAGATGGAAACGATAGGATGCCATGAGGCAGAACTTGCAGCATCGCTCAGAACTTGGGTGTGCGACCGTCATCGCAAAGACCCTGTGCCTCAGACAGCGGATGGGCTCCGACACCGAAGTCGTCAGGACGGACCTCATGAAGTTGTCAGCAACTAAGGCAACCCCAAAGACACACAGCCCTTTAGGCAGACACACAAGCAAGCACAGAACTGTGCCAAGGGCTTCATACTCAGAGATCTCACCACTCTCCTTCAACTCCCATACCTGCCAAGCACAGGCAGGTGCCATGGGCCGATGGGCTGCAGCATGCGGTGCACCCTCATTGAAGAATGGAGGAGTTAAGAGTCGTTGACATCAATCATATACGATTGGACACAGACGGTCATAGTCTTTGTATTTGGACTTTTCCCGAAAGCGCGGAGAAGGGTTTTTCAGCGGAGGTGGTCTTGGAAAAAGGTTGTATTGTTGATGCAAGGATGGATGTCGTGATGGATGATGCATGGATGGGATGGCGTGATGGATTTCGTGGATTTCTTGGTAAACGTAACACGTTTTTGAATGCGCGGGGTAGAGTTGGCAGACTTGCCGCACCTACTCAAAACTCGCGCTGGCGCGTGGGAGCCGTTCTCCTGTTGGTCCGCGAACGACGACCCTCTGGGTGCTCGCCCGCCGATACCTCAAGGAGAAACCCGGATGTGGAATGTTTTTCAATTGGCCCAGGCTGGGGGGAAACTGCGTGGGCTGTGTGGGGTCGGTGTGATTTTCTTTTCCGGGTTCGACCGTACAAAGTCCGCATGTTGTCGTCTGAACCTGTCTTTCTAGTGACCTACTTCTTTGGTGATCAAACTCTCGGCATCTTCTGACTGTGATTCGTGAAACGCAGGCATGAGGGTTTGGGGCATGCGCGCTTCTTGGATAATCTTTGCTCTGGCTGTGAGCATATCTCGCGAGAAAGAAGTGGGCGAAGATACAAACAGCAGCACGAATATTTTTCTTTATACATCAACACCTCATAGGCCATTCCGATAGTTTGGCAGTTAGCAACACACACACACACACACACACAAAAGCGCCATGAGCTGCACATAGAGCTACCTAAAGAGGGCATGGGCATGACATAAACCAGCACCATTTTACGCGCACCTTGGATGCGCCCGCAATCGAAAGCTCGTCGAGGCCCTCGCAGCCGTGGACCACCAGAGCACGCTTCATGCCTGCCCAGCATGGCATGGATCTGGCATGGGCTCCTACAACACGGTGGTGTGCCTAGCAGCTTGAAGACCTCTGCGAAGGAACGTCCCAGCGATGCTGTGAAGACGCCTCGGGGCTCCCCGCATCTTTGGCCCTGTGCTGGCACATCATGCTCGCGATGAGCCACAGGAGGTCTCTTAACAGTTCAGACCATCAGAACTCATCCAATGCATGCCCATCCTGTAGCGATCGAAACTGTACATATGCTGATGGAAACTATACTACACCCCCACCCCCCCCCCCCACCCGCCCGCCCCCGCCCACCCAAAAAAGATATGCAAAAACCCGATCCGGCAGTCGCCCCTGTGAAGATCTCTACCAAACACCTAGAAGCCCTGAAGCTTGAAACCTGAAGCCTTAACCCTTCCGTTTTCCCTGACCCTCATTCTGAGAGTTAAAACCTAGTTGAAACACAAAAGCTTCAAGGCCCCCAGAACCTTGACAACCTCAAGCCCTAAAGCCTGAATTGAAGACTCAAGTTCCTCTCAACCCTCACTCTCAACCTTAAACTGCTCTGTGAAGCTACAAGGACAGGCTGTTTGTTGGGAGCAACAATAAGAAGCCCACCTAATACTACAACTTCTTTGGCCGTTTATAAGACGGGGGGTCCTTAGTTGTTAGGGGGAAGGGGTTGTTGAAGCAGTGGTGAGTGCAAGAGCTTTCTCAGGCATGGGCCACAAACCATGCCATCAGGTCGAGCAGGATTCGTCAGGGGGCCCAAGATGTTGAAGACCTCAGCAGCTCTCAAGCCTAAACCTTGCCTCCGATGCCCTCCCCTCCCCACAGAGCACGGCACGGTGAGCGGCCGAGGCTCTGGCAGTTCGGATCCCCATCTCCTTGACGGGCAATGGAAGGAAGCATAGAAGAGCATTGAGGCCACAAGGCGGGGATGCAGATGCAGAGGACTTGCCGTGTGGTCGCTTGCACTCTGCCGGCTCCTGCCGGATGGGTCCAACATGACGCATTGCTGGATGATAGGACCTGCAGAATGGAAGATGTCACTTTCTGCGTGTTCCGGAGGTGCGACAGCCAACTGCCGAGTGGCTGAGCTCCTGCCCTTTGCAGGAGGCGCCACTGCTTTCGATTTGCTTCGCGACACATCGAGACTAGACCTTCTCGAGCCTTGCGACATGGGCTGAGCAAGTGCTTTGCCTGGCAAAGAGGAAGGCGAAGCTGCCAGCTGAGAGCACCGGTGCCACCTGCAATCTTGTTCGAGCTTGAACGCATTGTGCTAGAGGGACGTGGGTCGCTGCTTGTGAGACTGCGCTCTTGTCGTGTGGCTGACCAACCCTCGGTGCGGGATCGGGAACAAGGAGGGAGCGACTTCCTTGCTCGCTTGGCACTTTCTCCTGGCCTCAGCCGGTGCCAGCTCGAGCTTTGCGCCCAAGGCCTCCAGAGCCGCATGAGTAAGTACTGGCCAATAGCTACGATGCATAGAACCTTGCACTGTGTCACGTCTCCTTGGTTAAGGAATAAAGCAGCTGCCGCACAGTGCATCAAAACTGCTGTCGTGAACGGCTCTACTTGCACTCCCAGCACTTCAGTCTTCAGGTATAGTATACACCTGTATGTTTTTATGATGCTATTCAATGCAAGCTCATTTGCTTTCAAAGGCCTCAAGGATGTCTGCCGCACCACTCTTGGAAGAGGCTGCGCGGTTGCCATGCTTGACGATTCGAGCCTAGCTGAAGCTGCAGCCGTTGTTGACGATGGTACAGGCACAGCGCGTGCAGCTCGGTTAGCGCATCTTGGCCTCTCTTAGCCTCCAGCCCCAGCACCAGCTGCCACCAAGCCGGCCGCAGTTGAGATGTTAAAGGTGTCCTGCGCATCACAAGATTAGTAGCTCGGCAAACCATCCTCGCCTTCATGGGACTTTCTTGTGGGACTTTCGAAATGGCTTTGGGGTGCCTGCGCCGCTCTCGGAGCTTCAGGGGAGGGGAGAGTGGAGCAGCTCTGGGACGCCGTCTGGATTCTTGATTAGCTGGGATCGCGTGGGTGACCCACCTAATTGCCACCTCGAGTTTGTCGACTTGGCTGCATCTCGATATCCCACAGCTCCGAAGCCCTAAACGAAACCTTAGCCATGATTCCGTGGGTGTCTGCGGCTTCTGCCCGACCTGTTGCAATGATATGGTGTGACTCCATCCTTCGCTATTTCTCACAGTTTCCCCCAACACGCCTGACCATCCCCACCGGTGCCCACGATGTCAACGATGGGCCCGGCGGTTCGCGGAACCTGTTGAGAAGATGCGAAGTGCTCTTCAGAGCTACCTCCGATTCCTCCAGCTTCTCCACACCCTGGCCATCGGCAGCATCGGAGCCTCCACCGCCAACGCATTGCTGCGCATCACATCAGCCAGGGCGTGAACCTGGTTCAAAGGTCAATTTTCCGTCCCGCAGATGTTTCGATCGACCACAGAAGAAGCATGCAGTACGTACTCAGTGTACATGTGATATACACTCCTCTGAAAGGATACCCAAGAATTTGATCTGGTGTCCAAGCTCCGAACAATGCTCGGCGTGCACTTCTCCAACCTGCAGTGCATGGCTCTGTTCGATTCGTGCAGTTGTCATTGAACTTTCATGACACGAACTTCAGGTGTCGCAAGGCACATCGAGGGTATCAGCTGCCAGGTTCGTCATGCTGTGCAAACCTCGCCGACCTCAGGCCGCTACGACAGAAGCGCCAGGAATGCGCCGATCTGGGCAGGAGTTGCCTCTGCTCACGTATCCCTAGGATGCGAAAGGGGTGTTCAAGATCTGGTGATTGGCTATGAGCTTGTTTGTCTTGTTGGTGTAGTTGTTTAGGCGTTGGGGGCGAGGGGGGCGTGGCCTTGAAGTTTGTGGGGTTTTGGATAGGCTCGAGTTTGTAAGGGGTTAAACTGAACGAATTGCATTTCTACAGGAACCGAACTGAACAACGATGAACTTGGTTGATGCTAAATTTGTTAGCTTGGTTTGGTTTCAGCGGGGCAGGCGGGTTTTGAGAGGATGAGCGGCAAGCCTCGTGCAGACCCCTCCACAAAGAAGGAGCGCGCAATGATCTTTAAATATCATGGTCAGTTATAAGCTGTACATGTGCATGACAAAACTCGTGCTGTGTCTACTTCAGCAGCACTACATCCCATAGTTCATTGCTTCCTCACCTCCTTCGCTCCTCCCTTCCTTCTTTCCTGTAGTCCTTCCCTGGTTCTTCGCCGCCCGCACCTCGTTTCCTCCAGACGTAGTAAAACGGACAACACACCACCCCTCAAATAACCACCAAGCACCCTATGAAAAGTAAACCCGAAATTCCTGGAATTACAAAAGTAAAAGCAAGCCATGCGAAAGGCACGACATGCCACGGTTCCTTTGTTTGGAGTGGGCACCTGGCCTCCCCATTCATTATCTCGCGCATGGCTGCATTGGCCTGGGGCAATGGCATCAAGAGGCTCCAACGCTGCGCGGCAACTTTATCATGTTGACTCCAAGAACCCCCGAGCTTCATCCCTGCTCCAATCGTTGGCCTGGTCCGGCTGGAGCGTATCGCCGGCGGCAAGCGACTTGACTGCTGCTTTGACTGAGCCTCCTCACAGGCCATTGCACAGGAGCCTCACAGTCCCACCATGCCGCCCATGCCTATGAATATGAGAAATGCGGCGAACCTGCGGGCTTGGTCTTCTTGGCATCTGGCGCTGACATTGCTCTTGCAGCTTTGCCGGCGGAAGGAAGTTTATTTTGCGCTTGTCTCTGCTGGAACCGTCAACCGTAGCTGCCTGCGCTTGCCATGCGGAGTGAGCATGTGCAACCATATAGCTCCACAACTCACATGACTCAAAAACAATCACAGCTTGGAGCGCGAATGAGATGCATGGCCTTGTCAGGCTATACAGCTGCAAGCACGAAGCTCACATGTTCAAGCGCCATGTCGCGCTACTGTTGCCAGTTGCAGCTTGCAGCCAAAAAAACTACTCAATGTAAACGATGTCTGAGCGTTCATCGTCTTTTCCCCCTTCAGTGCGCCCACAGGTGTGTACGCCTGCGTTCGCGCATGTCTGCTTAGGCCTGCCATGCAATCAGAGATAAGACCCGAACTCCCATGTCCGAAGGCTTCGGAACGCTCCCAACTGCATGTTGCAGCTTCAACGGCTTCAAGCAGCGGAACCGCTGGCCAAGCCTGCCTAACGACCAAAGCTCTGACCCAGGCTCTTGACCTGGCTTACTTTGCACATCTTTGCACGCTCTGGCCCTGCTTTCAACACACTGGACCAAAGTGGTCGAATGCTGCGCCTTCTCGTTGTCCTGAAGCCCACTTGCAGCTTCCTTGGCAGCTGCCGCAGCCTGTCGAAGACGGCTGCAAGGGGCGGATCTTGCTGTACCCTTTGAATACAAGTCTACGAGAGAAAGAGCACACGAATATTTTGGTAGATAACAACAAGCAAAGCTCAAACGGCACATGTTATTCTACGTTTCTCTTTCGGCTTCTTTTCATGTATACGCATGTAAACGATGCAAGAGAATGCGTGTGACGCCATGCAATTGCATGTGAATGTATGTAGATGTATGCAAGTTTATGTCATGTTCTGCGCATGTGTGTAGATGTATGTATGTAAACGCATGTAAACCTCTGCTTCCACTGTTCTGCCGAAGCAAAGACCGCTACGCCTCGTGACCCATCACTTGGTCAATACATCTAAAAATGCTGGAACCACGTAGGGCTGCGAATACGACGTGACATACGCGTGGCATGGCTGATGGTTTCATTCCTCGATACGGGATGGGTCTCACTGCCCATATTATAGTAACTTATAGTACTTGCCTCACACAGCACATGTGCTCCTAAACCGCTTTCGACGACCTCATACACCAGATTCACTAGATGTGAAAATGTTGCCTACCTGCTCGTCATATCTGCCTGGCCAGCATACTTCTCAGCGACCGCTTGGTATTCTCCTGCTGCGGCTGCGTATTCTCCAGCAGCAGAAGCCGCCTGATCACCGTTGTGGGCAATGGTTGGAAACACTATGAACCACCCACGTGATGCTGCTCGTCGTGGTACCCGCAACAACTTAGCCTCCTAGGAAAGAGGCGTCGATGAAACCTCTCGTGGAAACATGTCACGATATTTGCATGCGCCTGGCCAGCATACTTCTCTGCTACCGCTTGGTACTCCCCCGCTGCTGCTGCATACTCTCCAGCAGTGGCAGCTGCCTGCCATAACCCGAGAAGGCCCGTCACGGTACCACTTGCCATATACAGCCACATACTACAGTTACTACAGTGTCCTGGCCTGGCTCGCCGCTTGTTTTGCCTGGTCCTTTGCCGAATCAGCAGCCTCAAAAGCCTTGGGAATCAAGCAGAACACTCGAATTGTTCAATGCCAGCAAGCCTCGTGCTTTGCAAGTCCATATCACAAGACCATTTGTGTTATGATGTGTCGGAGGGAACAGGAGGGGGCTAGCAATGATGACTCATGGGCGTTTCGCAGGTGCACGGACTGCTTGCATCGTCCCCTGAATACAGGTGCCAGCCAGCACTAAGAGTTTGTGTAACATCTCGCCATCATGTCGGTTCAAGTACCAGCCGCAAGTAGGGCGCGCAAGGCATATTACACACACGAACGCGCAAGCCTTGTCCATCATGGACTTCAGCGTGTTCAACATGTCCTGAGACTCCTGGCGTGTTCATCGACATCCTGAACCTGTATTGCGAAATATTGAGACTTGTGTACCATGATGCAACGTGCCAGTTTTACCGGGTTGGCCGCCGCCTCGGCGATCTGCTTGTCCAGTACGGCCGCCTTTTCGCGGGCGGCCTGGATGACCTCCGCGTGAAGTTTGGGCCGGGAATCTCTCCCACCGCTCTCCTCTCTCCCTCTCTCTGGCCTCCTCTCCGCGGCTCTTGGCAGCCTCAAGGCCTGGCATGACGCAGTGATGCAAATGCAGGCGCGCTCTACTTTCCGTGTTTGCTTCGGCCTGCACCCTCAGAGCTCATCTCCGCTTTGATCGCCTCCACCTGCTTGTCCTTGGCCTGGTCAGGCAGAAGTTGCCCTGGCTCCCATCGACTTGTAAAGATGCCGCGGCCTCCATCTCTGCCTTCAGCTGCGCAAGGCGGCTCTCTGTTTCGGCCAGCTCCTTTGCTTCCACATTCTTCCACACAAGTGCCTCACACCTCCAACACCCAAGGGAAGCCTGCGAGAGACCATCTTTCTCGCGAAGGTGGACCGCCTGAGTTTCGAGCTCTCGGGAGCCCCTGCGTCTTCCGCAAAGCAGGCACTCTATACATATATATATATATATATACATACATACAGACAGAAATATATATATATATGAGAGAGGGACCTTTATGTACTATGTTGCTACCTGTTTTTCTATATGTATAGAGAACATATGGAAGAATTAAATGATTTGAATTATTTAAATTAGTTTTGAGGCCCGCGAATTTAAATAATTTAATTCGAGATTTAAATTATTTAAATTCGCGGGCCCGGAAACTAATTTAACTAATTTAAATACCGAATTAAATTATTTAAATCCACGGGCCTCGAAACTAATTTAAATAATTTAAATCAGGATTTAAATTATTTAAATTATTTAAATTATCTAAATGGTTTGGGTTCGGAGAAATCCTCATTCTATTTGAATTATTTACATTATTTAAATTATTTAAATTCACGGGCTTGGAAAAGAATTTAAATAATTTAAATCGGGATTTGAATTATTTAAATTAGTTTCGAGGCCCGCGAATTTAAATAATTTAATTCGGGATTTAAATTAGTTAAATTAGTTTCCGGGCCCGCGAATTTAAATAATTTAAAGAATCTAAATAGATCCAGATTTTCTCCCAGCACAGACCATTTAACTAATTTAAATAATTTAAATAATTTAAATAATTTAAATCGGGATTTGAATTATTTAAATTAGTTTGGAGGCCCGCGAATTTAAATAATTTAATTCGGTATTTAAATTAGTTAAATTCGTTTCCGGGCCCGCGAATGTAAATAATTTAAATCTCAAATTAAATTATTTAAATTCGCGGGCCTCAAAACTAATTCAAATAATTCAAATCCGGATTTAAATTATTTAAATTATTTAAATTATTTAAATTAGTTAAATGGTCTGTGCTGAGAGAAAATCTGGATCTATTTAGATTCTTTAAATTATTTAAATTCGCGGGCCCGGAAACTAATTTAAATAATTTAAATCCCGAATTAAATTATTTAAATTAGTTTCCGGGCCCGCGAATTTAAATAATTTAATTCGGGATTTAAATTATTTAAATTAGTGTCCGGGCCCACGAATTTAAATAATTTAAAGAATCTAAATAGATCCAGATTTTCTCCCAGCACAGACCATTTAACTAATTTAAATAATTTAGATAATTTAAATAATTTAAATCAGGATTTGAATTATTTAAATTAGTTTGGAGGCCCGCGAATTTAAATAATTTAATTCGAGATTTAAATTATTTAAATTCGCGGGCCCGGAAACGAATTTAACTAATTTAAATACCGAATTAAATTATTTAAATTCGCGGGCCTCCAAACTAATTTAAATAATTCAAATCCCGATTTAACTTATTTAAATTATTTAAATTATTTAAATTATTTAAATTATTTAAATTATCTAAATGGTCTGGGTTCGGAGAAATCCTCATTCTATTTGAATTATTTAAATTATTTAAATTCGCGGGCCCGGAAAAGAATTTAAATAATTTAAATCCCGAATTAAATTATTCAAATTAGTTTCGAGGCCCGCGAATTTAAATAATTTAATTCGGGATTTAAATTATTTAAATTAGTTTCCGGGCCCGCGAATTTAAATAATTTAAAGAATCTAAATAGATCCAGATTTTCTCCCAGCACAGACCATTTAACTAATTTAAATAATTTAAATAATTTAAATAATTTAAATCCGGATTTGAATTATTTGAATTAGTTTTGAGGCCCGCGAATTTAAATAATTTAATTCGAGATTTAAATTATTTAAATTCGCGGGCCCGGAAACGAATTTAACTAATTTAAATACCGAATTAAATTATTTAAATTCACGGGCCTCGAAACTAATTTAAATAATTTAAATCAGGATTAAATTATGTAAAATATTTAAATTATTTAAATTATCTAAATGGTCTGGGTTCGGAGAAATCCTCATTCTATTTGAATTATATTTAAGTTATTTAATTTATTTAAATTCACGGGCTCGGAAAAGAATTTAAATAATTTAAATCGGGATTTGAATTATTTAAATTAGTTTTGAGGCCCGCGAATTTAAATAATTTAACTCGGGATTTAAATTATTTAAATTAGTTTCCGGGCCCGCGAATTTAAATAATTTAAAGAATCTAAATAGATCCAGATTTTCTCCCAGCACAGACCATTTAACTAATTTAAATAATTTAAATAATTTAACTAATTTAAATCAGGATTTGAATTATTTAAATTAGTTTGGAGGCCCGCGAATTTAAATAATTTAATTCGGTATTTAAATTAGTTAAATTCGTTTCCGGGCCCGCGAATTTAAATAATTTAAATCTCGAATTAAATTATTTAAATTCGCGGGCCTCCAAACTAATTTAAATAATTCAAATCCGGATTTAAATTATTTAAATTATTTAAATTATTTAAATTAGTTAAATGGTCTGTGCTGGGAGAAAATCTGGATCTATTTAGATTCTTTAAATTATTTAAATTCGCGGGCCCGGAAACTAATTTAAATAATTTAAATCCCGAATTAATTTATTTAAATTAGTTTCCGGGCCCGCGAATTTAAATAATTTAATTCGAGATTTAAATTATTAAATTCGCGGGCCCGGAAACTAATTTAACTAATTTAAATACAGAATTAAATTATTTAAATTCGCGGGCCTCCAAACTAATTTAAGTAATTCAAATCCCGATTTAAATTATTTAAATTATTTAAATTATTTAAATTAGTTAAATGGTCTGTGCTGGGAGAAAATCTGGATCTATTTAGATTCTTTAAATTATTTAAATTCGCGGGCCCGGAAACTAATTTAAATAATTTAAATCCCGAATTAAATTATTTAAATTAGTTTTGAGGCCCGCGAATTTAAATAATTTAATTCGAGATTTAAATTATTTAAATTCGCGGGCCCGGAAACTAATTTAACTAATTTAAATACAGAATTAAATTATTTAAATTCGCGGGCCTCCAAACTAATTTAAATAATTCAAATCAGGATTTAAATTATTTAAATTATTTAAATTATTTAAATTATCTAAATGGTCTGGGTTCGGAGAAAGCCTCATTCGATTTGAATTATTTACATTATTTAAATTATTTAAGTTCACGAGTTCGGAAAAATTTAAATAATTTAAATCGCGATTTGAATTATTTAAATTAGTTTTGAGGCCCGCGAATTTAAATAGTTTAATTCGGGGTTTAAATTATTTAAATTAGTTTCGAGACGCGTGAATTTAAATAAATTAAAGAATTCAAATAGGTCGAGAATTTCTCCTAGCCGAAACCATTTAAATAATTTAAAAAATTTCACAAACTGAAATAATTTAAATAATTCAAATATCTTAAATCATTTAAATCTGGATTTGAATTATTTAGACTCTTTAGGGTTAGTAGCTTAAAACCCTATAGGGACCGGAAGGTATAATGATTTGAACTCTACAGCGCGCTTTTTTACATTAATATTAAAATAAAGTCTGGCGTCAGGTATGGTCGCTTTTGATTCTCACCATCGAATGCGCGGAGCCTACAGTGAATGCAGTGTTAACTCAACTCGGAGTACTGTTTTCGGTCTCCGGGAAAGCGGGGTACTGTTTTCGGTCCCTGAACACGGTGGTACTGCTTTCGGTCCACCGTCTCCCCCTCTCTTGTTTGTGTATTGTTATCTCGCCAACTGCACACTAAACAGCACAGACGACATGGTGGTACTGTTATCGGTCCACCGTGTTTGTGCTTAAACTATTACAACAACATGAAACATATCATATTCTTTTTACATGTGCTGTAACTTCTAGGACATACATATGGCCGCGTGCCAGTATTGATTGCTTGTAACAGGGCCGCGGCCCGCACACGCGACATACCCCATTACGGAGGCTATGCATCAACGGCCGGGGTTTTGCGACAGACGTGTTTGTTGTTGTCTGCAGGTTCCAAGTCTTGCTTATCCGGGTGTAAGTGTTCTCAAGTTTCAAAAAGCAAATATATATGTAACACTGAATTTTAAACCCCCCTAAACCCTTAAAGGCCGCGTATGTGGGGTGGTTCTAAGTCTTGCTTATCGGGGGGTAGATGTTCTTAAGTTTCAAGAACAAATATGTATGTAAGACCGAATTTTAAACCCTCTTAAACCCTTAAAGGCTGCGTATGTGGGGTGGTGCTAAGTCTTGCTTATCGGGGGGGAAGTGTTCGTCAGTTTCAAGAAGCAAATACATATGTAACACCGAATTTTAAACCCCCCTTAAACCCTTAAAGGCTGCGTATGTGGGGTGGTCCCAAGTCTTGCTTATCGGGGGGTAGGTGTTCGTAAGTTTCAAGAAGCAAATATATATATATATATATATATATATATATATGTAACACTGAATTTTAGACCCTCTTAAACCCTTAAAGGCTGCGTACGTGGGGTGGTTTTAAGTCCTGCTTATCGAGGTGGTAAGTGTTCGTAAGTTTCAACAAGCAAATTGTAAACCCCCTTAAACCCTTAAAGGCTGCGTATGTGGGCTGGTGCTAAGTCTTGCTTATCGGGGGGGAAGTGTTCCTCAGTTTCAAGAAGCAAATATATATGTAACACAGAATTTTAAACCCCCTTAAACCCTTAAAGGCGGCGTATGTGGGGTAGTTCCAAGTCTTGCTTATCGGGGGGGAAGTGTTCCTCAGTTTCGAGAAGCAAATATATATATAACACCGAATTTTACACCCCCTTAAACCCTTAAAGGCGGCGTATGCGGGGTGGTTCTAAGTCTTGCTTATCGAGAGGTACGTGTTCGTCAGTTTCAAGAAGCAAATGTATATGTAACGCTCAATTTTATACCCCCTGAAACCCTTAAAGGCTGCGTATGTGGGGTGGTTCTAAGTCTTGCTTATCGGGGGGTAAGTGTTCGTCAGTTTCAAGAAGCAAATATATATGAAACACCGAATTTTAAACCCCCCTTAAACCCTTAAAGACGGCGTATGTGGGGTGGTTCCAAGTCTTGCTTATCGGGGGGTAGGTGTTCGTAAGTTTCAAGAAGCAAATATAT